GATGTGTCTTGTATTTCGCTTAATATGTATATTTGTTTCTGCATTTTTAAAAATAAATATTTATCATTCCTATTATTACTATTATTGTATGTTGTTATTATTATCATTATAGCACATTCAATAAATGATGATAAATTTAATAAAAAAAAATTCAAAAAATTCAAAATTAATTTTTTTTATTAATTTTTAATTTTTTTTTTTTCTAAAAATAATTCTTCACCACCACAAACATTATTTTAAAACACCCAATATATACATAGATAAATTTTGTTAAATGTTAATTATTGAAAAAAAATTAAATTAATCTTTATTAATTTTTTTTTGAATTTTTAATTTGAATCTATTATTTTGATTATTTCATCTATTGTTCTTGGATCAACAGTTGGTGTGGTTTTTATCTTATTATTTGTTTGTTGCATTTTTGAATAATATTATATGAATATTTTGTATTTCTGTATGTTTAAAAAAAAAAAATTTTAAAAGTAAATTAAAAGAAAAGGTATTTTTTTTGTTTTATTGCATTTTATAAAAAAATTAAACAAAATTTTGTTTTAGATGCATGTGGTAAAAGTTTTGAATAATCAACGAGTTTAACAAAATATCAGGGAACACACATTCATGGGATCTTTGTTCTTTTCACAAACTTTTAAACCTTTATTTTTTTGAATAGATATCATGATTTTAAACCAATAATTTTCATTTAAGTTTTTTTTTTTTAAGTTTTTTATTTTTTTTTTAAGTTTTTTTTTTTTTGAATTATATATGATTTTTTTTTAATTAAAAAAAAAAAAAAAAAATTTAATTTATTTTTATTTTATTTTTATTGAAATAAATGAAAGAATACAATAATAAATATTATAAAGTTAAGAAACTATCATCGAATTTAGAGAGAGTCGTTTATTTATATGAAAATATTCAAGAAAAAAAAGTAATTATTAATTTATAAAAAAAAAAAAACAAAAAAAATATTAATAAATTTATAGCTATATATTTGTAAAAGAATTAAACTATTTAATTTAGAAACTTTAAATGATTCTGAAATAGAACCCGAAAAGAATTTCACCGAATCAGTAAACCAAGAACTTAAATTTTTAAAACAATATTCAAATAAAGAAAAATACCCACATTTAAATATTATTCAGTATATTGAAGATTTTATTACCATAAAACCAAATAAAGACTATGACCATTTAAGTATCATCACTGAATATTATGAAAATGGAGATTTATCAAATTCCAAAGGGTATTATAATATCTATAAAGAAATAACTAAAAATAATAAATTTATAATTTTTTACTAACTAATTATTTTAGATTTCCTTTTTATAATATTGTTTATTTATTGGTTAAGATTCTAATAATTTTAGACCAGTTTAAAGAAGATAAATTTGTTCATAGAGATATTAAACCAGAAAATATATTTTATAGAACACTTAATGGCCCCAATAGAATTACAGGAGAACCGGAATATGAGTTTTATTTAGGTGATTTGGGATCCTCAAGAATTATTTTGGGTTTAACTCAAGATGGTCGTTATACTCAAGCAGGAACTAATGAATTTATAGCACCTGAAGTAATCGAGGGATATATAACTCCATGTAGATATTACAGTTTAGTGTAACTTTATTAAAACTTTTTGAAAATTCTTGCACATTTATGTTTAATGAAGTTTTTTTAGAAATTTTTCAAAAAATGGCTAATGAAGATGAAAACAAAAGACCACAACCATCCCAAATATTAGAATTCATTTGTAAACACAATGAACTTTTAAGACAATCATCTGGGGATCTCATTCATAGAAATCTAAAAGAATCATTATATTTTGTTAATCAAAAATTCAATTTTTTTGAAAAAAGTACAATTCCAATAGAATTTAATTTAAACAAATTCAATTTAAACAACCAATCATTAAATTTATTTAATAATAATAATAATAATGGTTTTGATATTACCAAAGATTATAAATATATTAGTTGCCTTGCAAGATCTACTATAAAGGAATATTATATCATTATTGATGGAAAGGTATGTATTAACTTTGTATTTTAAAATTAAAATAAATTATTTTAATTCTAATATTTATTTTTTAATAGTATTTTAGTTTGTATTCTTTTAAAAACAGTTTACATCCATATTATTTCGATCTATTGTTTTCTGAAGAAATGTTTTCATTTTATTTTATGGAATGTTCAAAAGTTTTTCCATTAAGTTTAGAACCACAATATATATTTATGGGTATCAATGTAACTAATTATTTAATAGCCAACCCAACCGAAAACAATTTAAAACAAATATCAATTCAAAATCCAAATACCATAACAAAGAAAATTCAATTAATATTATTATTTAAATTAATTTTATTATTTTTTCAAATTTTCGAAAAAGGAGATTCCAAAATGTTGAATTTATATTTTGATAATTTTAGTGGTTTACAAGTATTTTTAACAAACAAAAATGAAACTACCAAAGATGAAGAAAATCAAGAACCATTCAATGATGTTAAGTTTTCAATACTCTCTACTATTTTTAATCTAACTGAGAAACCACCTAACTTCATAGAAAATGTCTTCAAAGTCTATAATATAGAAACCAAAGATCCAGTCATTGATAAGATTTATGACTATTTTAATGTAAGTATTGTATTAATATGACTTTTATATTACATAGTATAAATTATAACAAATATTTTTCTTATCATAGACAACCTTCGAAAAGGCAGAAACACCAGTTTATTTTCATTATAAATATATTTATCAAATTTTAGAAAATGAAAAAGAAAGATTAATAAATGAAAACAAATACTTAATGGAATATTATGATAAGTTAGATACAAGCTATAACAATATTTTAAAGAAAACTTCTATTCCTGAAGCATTTGTTATTATTAAACAAGTTAAACTATTTCATACAAAAATCTCAAAAAATTTACCAATTTTTATAGTTTATCTTGAAGGAGAGGTAAAGTATAAAATATTTTTACAATTTTTCATTTTAAATTTTTTATTAATACAATTTATTTATTCAATAGGTTTTTGGTGCATTTTCAGAAAAAAAATTTGGTCTATATCCTATTATTGTTGACCAAATAAACTCTGTTTTAGAAAAAATTCAATTTGAACCTTTATTAAAACCCTCAAAAAAAATCAACTCTGATCTTTTATTATACGATTTACCAACCAAATTAAAAGAAAGCATTGATCAATATTCAGATTGGGAGAAAAAAAGATCAATGTTTACTGATGAGGAAAAGAATAATTATTTTATGAAACTAACCAATAAACATTTAAACAATGTAATCCAATTAAAATCAATTAAAGACTATCAATTCATATGTATGTATTTATAAAACTATTAATAACGATTGATTAAAAAATTAACAGTATTAACTTCTATTTTTTCATTTATAGATGGTTTAGAAACTATTATTGTTGGTGAAGAAATATTTTATATTTTCGATGTAAATATACATAAAAATTAAATATTTTATTTTTCAAAAATTATATTAATTATTTTTTACCCAGTATTTATTTAAAAGTCCATTTAATTTAGTTGGTTCAATTTATGATATTGCTTTATACGTTTATGGTCAAGAAGATAGCTGTCAACAACTCTTAAATTTAAATTTCTTTAAACATTTAAATTATTTATTTTGTTATTGTGTATTGGTTGTCAAAGGTCATTCAAAAATTGAATATTCCCCATTAAATGGTTTATATTATTTAAACAGGTTATTAACCACCAATAATAATAATAATGATAATCTCACCAACTACTCAAAAATAACGATTGGTTCTATTAAATATAATATTTTAGAAATTTTAAATTTAAACCATCACAAAGATAATGATTTATATTATGATTATAAAACAATGATTTTATTATTAGAAACCACCGATACAAATGAAGTAAGTATTCAAATCAATATATTATTCAATTATTCAATTTATTAATAAGATTTCTATTAATATAGAAAATTTATTGTATTCGAAAACAAAAGAAGGATGTTTTGACTGAAGAAATGATAGATGAAGTTAAATTTGAAGAAATTGATAATAATAAGTTTAAAGAATTTAATAATATAATCATTACTCCATGCTATATTGTTCAAGATATTAATACATCTTATTATTTCTTTAAATCGGAATTAAAAATCAAATCAATAAAAGATATAATTGAAAAAGAGTAATTATCCATATATAACTACACTTATATAACTAAACATAAATAAATTCATATTAATATTCATTATATTTTTATTAACAGTTACAATAACATCAGCATAACAAGATCATTATTATATTATTTGGAATATTTTGTTTCAAACCAATCAAACTCAAGTCAAGTGATTTTAATTAAATCAAAATCAGTTTTAGATCAAGAAACAGAAGATTTTTTAATTAATTTCGATGTTTCATATTTTATAAAAAGAGTCTATGGTATTTATATTGAAAATAGAAATTGGGATAAATATATTAGAACAATTTATTCAGGTAAATCACTTTATTCAAACTATTTCATAACCAATAAAAATAAAATATTAAATGATAAAACTAGTTTAGAAATTATTGAAAGAAATAACGACAAAATGAAAGATATTATTGGTTATGACAAAATATTTATTATTGAAGAAATTGAAAAAATTAAAGAAAATGTTCATTTAGTCAAAATAAATGATAAGGTAAATATTTTATATTTATATAGATTAAAATTGAAAATTTATTAACTTTTTATTTTAAACCTAGTTTTATATTCGAAAAATTACAGGTTCAATTAGAGAAACCAAAGAAATGTATTTAACTGATGAAAATTGGGATTTTATCCAACCTATTTCTAAATATAAAAATAATTTTCTCTATGTTAAAAAAAAAGAAATTCTGTCAGAACAATTCTCAAATTTTGAAATCGATATTTTAAAACATCAATTTAATTCAGAGTTTTTAATATTAAACATGATAAAAGGGATGGAAAGAGTTGTTCAAATATACGACTATTATTTAGATGATGATTTAATTTTCATTTTAATAGATTACTGCGAAAAAACAACCAATCTCTCAAAATATAAAATAAAAGATCCATCACAAATTACTTTAATATTAAAACAAATGGTTAAAATTTTAGAAAAATTAAAAGAACATGATATTTATCATTGCGATATCAAAAATGGTAAGACAGAAATAATAAAAAATATTTTTTTTTTTACTAATATAAATTTATTATCACAGAAAATATTTTAATTCAAGAGAATAATGGTGAAATACAATGTATTTTAGCTGATTTTGGTACTTCAGGAATTGGTTCAGAGTTAAAGAAAGATGAAAAGAAATATTACTCGAGAAATGGAAGCAGAAATTACCAACCACTTGTAAATAATAATATTAAAAAAAAATAAATAAAAAATTCTAATTATATTTTATTTAGGAAATTTATATCAAAAAATACAGAAGCAAAAACCCAGTTAAATCACTTGAAAATAAATATGATATCTTTAGTTTAGGTTGTGTTATCAAATCCTTATTTAATGAAAATAAATTAAAAGCAGACAAAGATATTAATACAATTATTGAAAAAATGACCCAATTACATGTATGTATAAACTATTTAAAATATAAACTAAATACACTAACATTTTTCAAAATTCTAAAATAGTATGACGAACGTATAAATTTAAAAGAATTAAAAGAATTAACTGATCATCTTTAACAAAAGTAGAGATAAAAAATAAATAAAATAAAACAATTTAATATGAATATTCAGCGTATTCTTTTTGTTGGTAAATTGTAAAATTGAATAATTATTTTATTTATTTTTATATGTCATTGTTGAAAACCTATATGGTAGAGTAAAACAAGCATTACTTATCTTATCTGGAAAATACAGAGGTTGTTTAAATGAGTATACATATTTTCATGATTTTGTTTTTTGATTTTTTTTTTGATTTTTTATGATTTTATTTTTTTTTCAATTTTTTTTTATTTTTTTTTATTTTTTTTTATTTTTTTTTATTTTTTTTTATTTTTTTTAAAATTATTTGATTTTCTAAAAAAACATTTTCCATAATATTAAATAATAATAAAAGGTCCATGTGGGTGAATTAAAAATAAAAATAAAAAAAAAAATTAAAAAATAATTTTTTTTTTAAATTTAAAATTTAAAAAAATTATTTTTTAGATATGAAGGAATTTGTACCACACCCCGCACTATGAACCATATCGTAGTGCGGAGATATGAGATTAATGTTTTATTTTTTATTATAAAAAATATACAGATTTCATTTGAAAAATCCTTTTGTGGAAAAATTTTTTAAAAAATTACTATTATAATTAAAAAAAACAATTTTAGTCATGACCACTTTATTTATAGTTTTTTTTTAGTGTTAATGTTAAGTAAAAAACCACTTAAAATCATCATCACTAAAAAAAAAAACTAAAACTGATAAAATGTATGATAACCCATTTTTTTTATTTAATTTTTTTTATTTTCCACAGCCTTTAATAATAATATCTAGTGATTGGGATATTTTATTGTTTTGTAATTGTTGTATAGAAATTAAATTGATTCCAAACTGGCTATCTACCCAATTCTTTAATAAAACAATAACTAAACTATCGAGACCATACTGAGTTAATTGAAATTCCATGTTGATTTTTGATTCTTCAATTGAAAGTAGTTCTGAAATTTTATTTAAAAATTGCGATTTAATATTTTCATTGCAATTATTATTATTATCATTTGATTTGTTGTTTATTTTAACAATATTGGTTTGATAGTCAAATTTGATAAGGTTGGAATTTGATTTTAAAGATACCATGTTTTCAAAACTAAAATCAGATAAACAATAGTTTGAATGATTGTTTTTATCTTGAATAAAGAGGTCCAGTGAATTTAAAATTAGTTGTGGTGAAATAAGTTTTAAAGCAGAACTATGAAACATTGTTTCGATTGCATCATTTCTTGAAACAAATCCAGTTGATGATACCGCACCTAAATTTACTGATATCGATGGTAGTCCAAGGGATTTTCTATATTTTGATAACGAGTCAGTTGTATTACAAGCACTAACATAACAACATTGTCTATATGAACCAGTAATTGATACCGCTGATGATGCTAAAATAAATTGTTTTAATTTCCATGAACGCTGAATTGATTCATTATGTAAATTGAATGCACCAATGGTTTTTGCACCATGTGTGATACTTAAACGATTCATATCGATATCTTGAACATCACTGATATCAGTTACAAATGCAAAGTGTATTACTGTATCGATATTTGTAATGTTTGAGTTTGATTCCAGATTGTTTAATACATTGTGAACTTTTTTACTATCTTCGATATCGATTTGATTAAAGTGGAAATTGATTGTATTATCTTTTTGATGTTTAGTTTGATTTATTAATAGCTCTAATTCCCATTTTAATGGTGATTTTGATAAAATTATAATATTATCGATTGATTTGTTTGAATATTTAACGAGCCATTTCATTATTTCTAAAATAATACCTGTTTGACCTGTTACTAATATGTTTTTACCGATATCTAATCTTGAAATATCATATTTGTGCTTCATAATAATTGAATCATTTTGTTTTTGTTCATTAAATACTCTTGATAAAATATCTATATCATGATTTACAACGATTTTACCAATATGTTGTCTTTGATTAATAAATTCGAGTGCATCTTTAAATTGATCATTTGAATATTCAATGATTGGAATTAGTTCTAATTTATTTGAATTAAACATTTTAACTACTTTTTTTAATAAATTTTTGTATAATGGTCCTGAAAAATCAACAAGTTCTACATTGTTATATCCATAGTTGTATTTAAAGTGATTGTTTGTAATATAATCATTTGGCGTCAAATGTGTAATTGAAAGATCTACAATTCTACCACAAGTATTTAAACATTGGAAATTTGAATCCATATATTCTGATGATAGTGTATTTATTATTAAATCTACACCTTGATGATCTTTGTCACATTCTAATTGTTTTAATCTGTTTTTAATTTGATGAACATAGTTTTTATTTCTTGATGAATAGATACCAGTAATAAATGGGCCATATTTATTTATCAAGTATTCTTCTTTATCTTTTGAACCAACTGTTAAAAATATATAGCCTTTGTGTTGTTTACATTTTAAAAGCTCTAATGATGAAAGACCGACACCACCTGCTGCTGAATGAATTAAAATAGTTTGATCTTCTTGTAAATTACCAGTATAGTATATACTATGCAACGCTGTAGTATAAACTGATGGAATAGATGCTGCTTCTATAAGTGAGATATTTGTTGGTTTGAAATAAACATATCTATAATCCATTATAATATGTGAACCGCTAGATTTTGGGGCAACTCCAAGTACTTCATCACCAATTTTTAGTTTTTTTACACCACTACCGCAACGAGTAATAATACCGCTAAAGTCATTTCCAATACTTGGCATTTGACTTAATCCTTTTTCAACCTCATCTTCTTTGCCATATTTGAGATCAACGCTATTTGATACTTGACCAGTATATATAAGATAGTCTTTAAAGTTGATACCGGTACCTTTAATTTCAACCTCTACTTCATTTGATTTTAATTCTTGTTTTTTAGCTTTTAGTTTGTATTCTAAATTTGGATCAAGTTGAATCATTAAATTATCTTTATTTGTTTCAAATGAGTTTGATGTAAATGATTGTTTAATTTTTGTTTGCTTTTTGTATCTTTCATAATATACTTTGTTGTTTTTAATTGTAAATTCTCTTTGAATATTTGATGTTGGGTTTATTAATATATCTATAAGTGATAGTATATTTTCATTTTGAATTGATGTATTGTCAAAATCTAAAGAATATAAATCTAGTTGTGGGAATTCTGCAAAATATCTTGCTGCCCCATTGATTGATGATGATAAATAGTTGTTTGTTGTTGAATTTAATAATATTAAAACATGTTTAAAAAAGATTTCAATTTCAAATTGAAGTAATATTTGATTTATTTGAATGTATTCAAATGCTGTTTCTTTAAAATTATTGATGTCTAAAGGATCAATTGCTTTCATAAAGATAATTAATGTTTTACTTTGTCTAATGGAATCAATTGATTTAATAATCCAGTTGTTAAGTTCATTAAAGTTATCTATTTGTATTATTTTTGAACTTAGTAGTTGATTTGATTTCAATGATTCGTTGATTTGTGCACCATATCTACTATTTCCAAACAATATAATATTATTGTGTGATATTAATTGTTTCATTGACACTGTGTTTGATAATACCAATTCATTTATATTTGATTTTCTTGTTTGAACTAAAAAGAATGAATTATCATTTCCAGATATTGTTGTATCTTTATAGTTGCATTCGTTTAGTAATTTATACCAACTTTCTTTTTTCATGCAGCTTCTATCTTTTCTGATGTCAATATCTTCTGGTGATGGCCACCATTTTGAGAATACGCCGAATATGGAGTCAAGGTATAATGATTTGTAAGGTGGTTCAATAAAAACCATATGGCCATTTGGTGTTAAAATATTATGAATTTCATTTAAACTGAATTTAAGCTGCTTTACAACATGTAATACATTTGACATTATAACCATATCGTAATAAGATGCTTTTAAATCTTGATCTTTTAATGATTTGTCTAAATCTAGATAACTATAGATTATATTGACTCCTTTGATGTTTGAAAGTTTTTCTTTAATACCTGAAAAAAATGATTCTGAAATATCGCTCCATGTGTATTCTATTTCGATATTTGATGATGGATAATCATTTAATAGTTTGTTGATTTTATTTAATACCAAATTTGATAATGAGCCGACATCACCCCCAAATTCCAGGATTCTGAATACTATTGGTTCATTAATAATTGGTTTAATTGATTCCGAAACAATTTCACTTAATAAATTATTTGATTTTAGATAAAAGTGGTCCAATAATTCATCTTCAAATACTGATTGAGGAGTGTCTATGTTTGGATCGTCATCTTCTAATGGGAACATTTGTTTTGCTAAAATTGCAGTTGTTTTTTCTAAAAGCTTAATATTTTTATCACTATTACCATCAGGGAATTCATTTAACTGTTTATTGATTCCTAAACTATTATATTTTTTTAAAATTTCAAAAATAAAGAGTGATATATCTTCATTTACTGCTTCATTAAGGTAGATTTGTTTGAATTGATCATAATCTATTGTTGATAATGCTTCGTTGTTGATAGTTGGACGTCTTTGATTAATGTGATAGTAAAATAATGATAATAAATGTTCATTTGATACTATTTGTTGATAAAAATCATCTATGCCCAATTTTTCCAATTTACACAAGTGTTGGAATGACTGTGGTTTATTAATGATAGAGTCTTTTGATTGTTGAACCGGTAGATAAATTTCATTAGATGGTGGTGGGATAATTATGGTATTGTCAATGATTGGTGTAAGAGATGTACAAACAGCATTTGAAATTTCAATTAATAATGTGCCATCATTTAACATTATTTTAATGGATCCAGAGTATGAGTATAAATTGATTCTTGATTTCATTTCAGAAAATACATATATTTCAGAATGTTGCTGATTAATTGGTATGTTTGATGAGTAGTATTTTAATCCTTCCATTTTATCCAACACAATTTGGCATTGATGGTTGATAAAACCAAGCATTCCATGTAAACATGTATCTAATATTGCAGTATTAAAAAATGAATTCATTGTTTCATTGTTGAGTAAATGATTGAATTCATTTTGATTTTGAATTTCATTTATTGATACAATCGATAGAGAGCAATCATCACCAATATAGCATTCTTTGACACCTTGGAATAAACCTTTGTATGTTAAACCAGTTTTGATTTTAATTGAATCATAAAGATCTGATTTTGATAGTTTGGTAAAGTTGCACCTATTTCTTATTTCATCAATATTGATTCGGTTTATTTCGTTACCATGTTTGAATAGACTAAAGTTACCAGTAGAACACAATACCCATTGATTTGTAGTTATGTTTTTAAAGTGTGATTTGACATTGAATTCATTTTTTGAAAGTGTATTGATAGTTGTTTGTAGACATTGATTAACATCATCTTGTAAAATTAATGGTGATTTAAATTCTATTGAATCGATTGTAATATCTTGATTTGGATATATGTTGAATAAATTGATGATATATCCGCACCCTGGGAAATAGTATTTACTTTTTACTTGATGTCCTTTAAGCCATTGGAATGGTTGTTTTTTAGTATCTATATATGTTTGATAGGATTTGGATGGTGATTCATTTGTAACACCAAGATGTTGTATTGAAGGTCCTTCTTTTTTGATCTTTTCATATGTTGAATTTTGTTTATAATACATTTTATCATCCCATTGATATAATGGAAGTTTATTTAATGCTTTATGAATATAATTGTGGTTTTGTTGAACTAACTGAGATTTGAAATTGATATTAAATGAGTGGTTTACATAAAGTGTTGAAATAGTGTTTAAGAATTCATTGTAATCATTTTTCTTTTTGTGAAGCGGTGAATGAATGCTTATATTTTCTCCATTTTTAAAATATGGTGATTGTGTTGGTTTCATTTGATTTAAATAGAATGATAATGTTGAATGTGGTGCAACTTCGATAAATGTGACTTGATTACCATAGTTGTTCTCTTCAATATATTTATATATGTTTGAAATGGTTTGAGTGAATTTTACTGGTTGTCTAATATTTTTAAAAGCATATTCTGAATTGAATGGTGTTGTTTCATGATTAAATAGGTTGGTTGTGACTGTTGAAAATATTGGTGTTGTTGATTGCTTTGATTTGATATCTAATGAGCATAAATCATCTTTAATTATTAATTGACTTGATGTATGGAATGATGATAATGTTCCTAACATTGTACAAAATATATCTTTTGATTTTAAATCAGCAATAATTTCTTTTAAAACATTTTCGTTACCAGAGATTACAATTGAAGATGGTGAGTTGTAACATGAAATCTCTAATGATGGGTATTTTGATGAATAATCCTGTATATATTTTTCTGCGCTGATACTAATTGATAACATTCTACCAGAACCGGTTGTTTTATTTTGAGCAATGGATCTATTATAGGTTAAATAACATAATGTTTCAAAGTCAATCATTCCTGAACAATATGCTGCTGAAATTTCACCAAGAGAATGACCAACGATTAAATCTGCTTTGACACCCCAGTGTTTATATAGTTCAAATAACGATACTTGGATCATTACATTTGATGGCTGTGCAATAATGATTTCTTGTATTGATGTCATATCTTTATCATCGAATGATCTTATTTTTTGTAAAACAGAGTACCCATAGTAATTGAAAAGTTCACTATCGAATTTATCAACCCATTGTTTGAATATTGTCTCATTTTTATATAGTTCTAATGCCATCCTATTATATTGTGATCCTTGACCGCAAAATACAAATACTTTAAATGGATTGTTTTTACTAACTGCAATATTTGAAAGGGTGTTTGTATCGGATGATTTGATTTCATTTTTTGAATCTTTAAATTCTTCCCAATTACTTGCACTAATAACTGATCTTTGAACAAGTGATGTTGATTTATATTTGATTTGATTATTTACAAATTCATTAAAATTTAATGTGTCTGATTGATCCATAATAATTTGTTTGTATTTGTCGAGTGATGTTGATGAGTTTGATGAGAATGGTATTAAGTACTTTTTGTTAATATTATTTTCATTTTGAATATTTTCATTTTGGTAATCTGACAAAATAATACAACAATTTGATCCTGTTATTCGAAATATTAATATTTTTTTATATTTTTTTTTATATTTTTTTTTAAATATTTAAAAAATATTTACCAGTTATACCAAAGTTATTAATAGCCATAACAGTATTTTTATTGCTACTGAATGGTATTTGTTCAGTTACAACTTTTAGACGCCACTCATCGAATTTGATATCTGGGTTTGGTGATTTAAAGTTGATGTTTTGAACAAATGATTGGTTTTTAAACATGACACAACATTTGATTAATGCCATTACACCTGATGATGCCTCACCATGACCGATATTTGATTTAATAGAACCAATTAAAAGTTGTTTTTTTGTATCTTTGAATATTCTTGAAATACCTTCTAGTTCAATTGGATCTCCAGTTGGTGTACCAGTACCGTGACATTCGACATAATCAATATCTGATGCATTGATTTGACCATTGGTAGATTCGATTGCAGATTTAATATTTTCATACTGTGATGATTTTGATGGTGAATAAAAGTTTGATTTATCATAATTGCCATCTACATTTGAATTTGAACCTTTGATGACACAATAAATGTTATTACCATCTTTTATTGCTTGTTCTAAACTCTTCAATACTACAACACCAACACACTCTGAACGTACATATCCATCAGCATCCGATGAGAATGTATGACATTTTCCAGTTGGACTTAACATTGATAAATGAGAAAATGATTTTGATTGATTTGGGTCTAATAATATATAAAAATATTAGTTTAACGAAAACTTTCTTTAAAAAAAAAACTATCTAGAATGATTTATATACATACCAAGCATTAAATTAACACCACCTACAATAGATACATCAGATTGACCATATTTTATAGATTTGTAACCAAGATTAATTGCATTTAATGATGAACTACATGCAGTATCGATTGTCATAGACTCCCCACGAAAATCAAAGCAGTAGGATATTCTATTTGATAACGAATGAAGTGACCCTCCAAAAATGTTTTTTTGGGTTTCAAACGGTGATTTATTGATAATATCGTAGTCCATCATTGATGAACCAATGAATGTACTTGTATTTGAGCCTCTTAATGTGGAGGGATCAATGCCACTATCCTCCAATGCTTCCCATGTACACTTTAACAGTAATCTTTGTTGTGGATCGATTGTATTGACATGTTCATCACTTGGATTAATGCCAAAGAAAATCGGATCAAAAGATTTCCACTCATCAAGCGGAATCAGACCAGCATATTTAGAAACGATATCACCAGCGACACTATAGTTATCAGACCATCTTTCAGATGTCTCTACAATACCATCGAAACCATTTACCAAGTTATTCCATAGTTGATCAGTATTTGAAATCGATTTTGCCAAACTTCCACTTGGTGCTCTAAAACCAGTACCTATAACGGCAACATTATATTTATCCAAATTGTTTTTTGAATGCATTTCTATAACTATTGTTTCTATAATAATTATTTATAAAAAAGAAAATTGAAAGTATTTTTTTTCATTATGTATCTCCCAAACTATTTTTTTTAGCTAATTCCAAATAGAATAATTTACATCTAAACTAATTGAAGATATCTTAAATTATTAATATTATATATATTATTATTATTAATCATATTTATACATACCTAATATTATTCATTGTTTTTATCTCTTTTAAAAAATTTTAATCTATTTGAAAAAAAAAAAATTTTAAAAAAATTGAAAAAATTAAAAAAATTAATAAAAAAAAAAAAAAACCATGATAATAAATAAGGATAGTATTTTAAAATTGACCTAAACACTTATTACAATTTTTAAAGATATATTAATCATAAAACAAAACAAAAAAATATTAATTTTTTTAAATTACTCTTCAATTTCAATTAAAAAAAAATATGGTATGATTTTAATAAACTAATTAATTTTTACTTTTTATTATGATATATCTCTATTTTAAGCCATAAAAACTCTACCTTAATACATTGATTATAAAAAATTCAAAAACCTTTGTTTTTTTTTAAATCTAAAGATAAATTTATATTATTTTTTAGCAAATGAATACATTTTAAATTTAATCTTTAAAAAAATCCCAACTAAACATTACAAAAATTTTTTGTTAAATCTGTTAATTTAATATTAATTAATTTTAAGTATGATTTTTTATAAACTAATTATCTCTATTGTTTTTGATGGCGTTTTTTATTAATTATTTTTATAAAATTTTTTAAAAAGTGAGAAAGTTAATATTTTTATTTTCAAAAAATATATAAATACAAATTTATAAATAAACGACAGTTTTTTTAAAAAAAAAGAACAATTATTATAAAAAAGCTTTTTTATATAAATTTTGAAAAATAACTAAATCCATGTTGGTTTTTGATGCTTCTGAAATTTTATTTAAAAATTGAGATTTAATATTTTCATTACAAACTATAATGGATAAATCAGACAGATTTCAATAACTTTGTAAAAAATAAAATTAAATATATCAACATCACTTGTCCAAAGATTAGATATTATAGCAAGTGATTTGAAGGATATTTTTAATGATAAACAAAACCCTTTATTTTGGGTTATTTTTTTCTTCTGCATTCAAAAAATATGGTTTCATATTTTGTGTCTGGGACGTATCTTTTTGGGAAAATTGATAAATTTACTTGATAACCTCTAGATTCCATTGCTTTTTTGAACTCTGGTATTCCTCTTCTTACACATGCGCATGCACTATAAAAAACCCCGTTGGGTGTTAAACTTTGATGTATAATATTTGATAGTTGATCAACATTTTTCTCATCATAAACCACTTCGCTGCCAATAACTATATCATAATAAAAACTCTTGGGTTTGTCTTTATACCAATCTAATGATTCCACTGAGCATGCTTTTTTAATTTCTGGTATTCTTGACGAATTATATTTTAAATTTTCTTTTAAAGTAGATAGAATCTAAAAATAATTGAATTAAAAATTAATACCTCTATTTCTGTATTTTTTTTTTTCTAATGAAAATACCTTTGGTGTATAATCAGTCATTAAAACTGATTTACAAATTAAACCAGCCATAAAACCCAAGACCCCTAACCCACTTCCAAGCTCCAATACTTCTTTTCCTTCAAATATTTTTTTATTTTCTAATAGCCATTTTCCAAAGCCTATCCCACTTTCCCATACTCTCCATGCCACAAATACTTCCTGAAAGGTTAATTGCTTCATTGATATTGAATATTGAAATTGACCATTTTCCTCGCTATATTCACCGACACCTACAGTTCTGACACTATTGGGTAAACATTTCCTAAGACACTCGATAACAGTTGATGAATCATTTAGAAGGTCTACATCAAAACTATTGTTCAATATAAACTCCACACGATGAATATAATCCAATGATCGAAGCGTTTCATTTACACTTGTCTCTTTAACTGTTAAATTTTTAAGAAATCGGAGTAAAACCTTTATAACCTCAAATAAATCGTTATCTTCTAAATTTATTAATGATAATTGCTGTTGTTCCTGTATTAAATAATATTCTTCTTGTTCTTCTTCATTTTGAAATTGTTGATTGTATTTATCGATTAATTGGTAAAGTGATTTGAAAATACCCAAACCTTCTATATCTTTAATATTATTTGTTGTTAAAATCCAATCATTTATTTTATTTAAACTACCTATTATTAATTCTTTATTATTTGATCTAAATATTTCTGATGTTACCAATTTCTTATTATTATTATTATTATTATTTATTTGTTTACTATTTTTCATTTTCTTTGTTATCTCCTACATAAACGAAAATTTTCGAAATTTTCAAGATTTCTTTTTTTTTTTTTTTTTTTTTTATTTTTTTTTTTTTTTTATAAAAATTTTATAAAAAAATTTATAGTTATAAAAATATAAATAACTATTAATTATTTAAATTTAAAATTCCTATTTTAATAAAATAAATATAAAAAATTGAAAAAAGAAATAATGTTGTCTAGAAAAACCCCATTAAAGTAAACATTTTTTCTTTATCATGAATAACTTAAAATAAATTGTAACTATAAAAATAAGAAATAATGATTAGTATTGATAAAAAAGAAATAATAAGGGTTATTATTTTAATTTTTGTTTGGGAAATTTATTCTTTTAATTTTTGTTTTGTTTGGGAAATTGTTTTTCTTTTTTTTTTTATTAATTTTTATTGGGTTTTTAGATATTTACCCTATATATAAAATTCTTTTTCATTTAAACGGTTTAAATGAAAAAGAATTTTCTTTTTAAAAATATGAAATTGGTTATTATAAATCTAATAGTATATCATAATAAATATAAAAGTAAATTATAAAAATAAATATAAAATAAAAAAAGTTTTTATAAATATTTATTTTTTTTAATTTTAATTTTTTTTTTTTTAATTTTATTTTTTTTTTTTTTTAATTTTTTGTTTTAAAATTAATCAGAATGACCACAAATAACAACAATAACGAAAAAGATGAATTTAAAACCATTAAAGACGAATTAGATACTTTAAGATCAAAAAGAAAGATCAATGAAGGTATTGGTTTTCTAGAAAATTCAAAACCAACTATTTTTACTGGTATGGTATTTGGTGCATCTGCATTATATTTCAGCTTAAAAGGAAAAAACCAATTAGCAAAATATTCAATTGCTTCAGCAGCAATTTTTTTGGCATCAGGGTAAATTAACTATTAGTATTTTTCAAATTTGGTAAAGCAATATTAATAAAAATAATTATTTAAATATCTAGAGAAATTATAGACCATGGTTATCCAACACAAGGTGCAGCATTAGCAGGTGTTACATCTGCATTTTTAGCTGGTAAATTTTTTGCTGGAGCATTTAAACATAAAAAAATAGGAGCATTATTATTAGGTTCAGTTTCATTAATTTCAATGGGATATCATTCATTTTTTGTAACATATAATCAAGGAAAAGATAAAATAGAAGAGGATATTCAAACTCACAATCAACTTGTTAAAAACAAATCATCTCAAAGCGATCCTAAATAATAATAAAATATCATAATCAATTTTTTTCCCCACCACCAACACAAAATACTTTAAAAAAATTATTTTATAATTTTTCTTTCTCTGAAGTTATTTAATTTTTTATATGTAAAATAAAATAAATTAATAAAAAAAAAAAAAAGTAATCAATTATAATGGGTATCAATTATAATATCTTTATCATTTTAACCCCCCCACTTTTATCCACCAGCATGCTGTTATATAAAAAAAAAAAATAATAAAAATTTTTCATACTCCCACCACACAACACACTTTCACATAATTTTTGAACACCTAAAAAGTGGATAAATATATTATATAACTCCCCAATATTATTTTTTTTATAAATAATTTTTTTATGTGACTGTTTTTCTAGTATTTTAATCTAAAAAATTCCTAATATATAACGATTTTTTTTAATAATGAAAGAATGTGTTAGTGTAGAGCGTTTTATTTTTTAATATATTATCAGCAAAATAGGAAATAATAAAAAAAATTTTTCTAAAAAATTACCGTTGTGTGGGGGTGAATGGAATTAAAACAATATTATTTGACATTATTTAAAGTAGATAATTTAATGTCTAATTTTTACTTGTTTTTTTTCTATATAAAAAAAAATTAATTAGAGTTTTAAAAATTCATTATTTGTTCAAACAAATATTAATAATTTATAATACAAATAAACCTTTTTTTAGTTTCAAATATTATAAAATAAAATAAAATAATATAAAATAAAATAAAATATAAAATAAAATAAAATAAAATAAAATAAAATAAAATAAAATGGAAAATTTTAATTTAAAATCAAAAGTAAATTTAATTATTGATGAAATTAACCAAAAAATTTCATTACAAAGTGATAAACTTTTAGAACAAATTGAAAATATTTGTTCTCAAAAACAAAATTTGATTGACTTTAATCTTCAAATCATTCATTTACAAGGTATAATATTATACTCTTAATAAATTTTTATTGTTTTAAACTAATTTATTTTCTGTTTTTTTTTTTAAATTAACTGTAGATTTAATTCAGCAATCAAAGAATGAAATTAATGATAATCAAATGGAAAGAAATGAAATTAATAAAAAATTATTAAAATATGAAAATGAAATTAATCGTTTAAAATTTGAAATTAAAAGTTTAAAAAAGAGTATTGACAAAGAAGTTAAAAATCAAGACAATGGAATAATGGATATTTTTTATCCACAAGACGACATTATCACAGATGCTGCTAGAGGTTTTAAGGAACAACTTCAAGATTTAATAATTGAAATCTCTGATAACCAAAGAGAAACTGGCTATGTTAAAGAAGAAATCTCAAAATTAGATGACAATATATCAGCTTTAAAAATTCAACTAGGCTTCTTAATTAAAAAACTAAATATATTAAAAAATTGTCAAAGAGAGAAATCCATTGAAATTTCAAAACTCACAAGAGAAAAAACCCTTACCGAAAATTATATGATAAGTTTGCAAGGCTATGTTTCCCATGTTCAAATTATTTTAACAAAATGTGAAAAAAATAACGAATTTTTAGATTTTGGTATTAATGATTTAATGATTTTATTAAACAATTAATCAAATTTCTAAAAAAAAAAAAAAAATTGTAAATATTTAAAAAACCTGTAAATAAATAAAAATAAAATTTGTAAATATTCCACCAAAAATTTGGTTTTAAAATTAAAAGATTTTTAAACTTCTTTAAGAGAAATCAATCCAATATAAAGATTTACTATAATTTGGTATAAATCAAGTTGATGAAATGACTAAAAATCTAAAAGATCCTATTATACAAATGGTTTACAATTTAATATTTAAATATTTTTTATTTACATTTATTTATAAAGATTATATGTGAATGTTTATTATATTATATTATAAATAAACTTTACTATTTTACCTTTTAAATTATTATTATTAATTATTATTATTATTTATTGTTATTATAATATGATTAATTTGCTAATTTATAAATTTTTTCTTCACAAGCATAAGCCTTTGGGGTTAATTGTATTAATGTGTGAAGAGGTATATTTATAAAAGGACACTCTTCTTTAACTTTACCTAAAAGATAACTATATAGACAACGTAGTGTAGCTTGATGACTGACTATTAAAACTGGATGTTTAGTTCTCTCTAATTCTAAAAGCAATGGTTCTAAACGTTGAATTACATCTTCATAAGATTCACCTCTTGGATAACGATATTGAAGTTTATCTGAATCACGAGCAGCTCTTTCATCTGGCATTTTCTCTTGAATCTCTTCGTATGTCATACCATCGCAAATACCGGCATCGATTTCATCCAAAGCTCTCATTACTACCTTTGGCTGTGAAATATATTGAGCGGTACGAATTGCACGTTTTAAACTGGAGGTCCAAACTACAACCTCACCATCATAACCATTAGCCCTAATATTTGAACACCATTCGCTAATCCAAACTGCCAATTGATGTGCGTAATTATCACCACGTTCTGTGAGGTCACTGTCACCACCTATACGGCCTGAAGCATTGAATTCACTTTCACCGTGTCTAGTTAACCAAATGGGTCTTGGATGTAAATGGAGATTCATTAAAAAGAAGACAACACGAGAAGGTATGTAGCCTGTAATATTATTGACTTCGATCTTTTTGCCAACATCGAAAAGTTTGATATAACGTGTTGATTCACCATCAACAGTTTCATACACCTTCATATAATGATTAATTCTATCTCTAAAATCCTGAACGGCTTTTGATGGGTCTACACCTTGATAATCTGGTGATAAAAGTTTGGTTTCTTTAATATTATGCTCGATTACATCCGGATCATTACAAATAGACTCTACAAATACCACTGTCATCTTTTCACGTTGGCAACGTTTCTCTACCAATTGTCTACGCTCGTTGGTGCTGTTAGTGGCATCATAAATTCCAACTCTACCACCATTGTGTAACCATGATATCATATCATCAAGTGCTGCCACTGCCATATGTAATCTTGCTTTAATACCTTCTGGGTTGTGTGGGTCAAAAAAGTCATGTGGTTGTCCTGCACCAATTCTTAATCTTCTATATTCACCTACATTAAATACCTTTGCTGGTACCAACATCCAATTTAACATTCTACAAATTTTTCTTGCTACATAAGTTTTTCCTCTTGCTGGTAATCCAACCATAACTAATACAATTTTTTCTTTATCTAATCCGGTATAACCTTGTGATCTTTTTCTAGTTTCTTCATCTAGATAAATATAAAAAAAAAAAAGAAATAAAAAAATAAAAATAAAATAATTAATAAATTTGATACGTAAAATTATATTTATTATTATACTTACTATATTCATGTCTAATTAAAATTTCTTGATGCTCTTTGATCATATTAACATCTACCACTTGTGTCTCTTTACCGGTACCTTTTTCTACTATTAAAAATTGAATTTCTATATCCTTTGGGAATTCATTAAACTTTTGACAAAATAATGTTTTTAAATCTTCTAATGTTTTTCCTTTAAAAAATGCTTTCTTTACTCTATCTTTAACTCTAAAAAATATTTCTTTTACTAATTTATTACCTGATTCTTCATGTGCAATTGGTATAGATGGTGGCGATGATGACGGTGACTTTGGCACTAAAAATGAATTTGAGTTTTCATGATTATTATCGACTATAGTAGTTTCACTTGAATAAACATGTTCTGATGGCGAAAATGTTTGTGACATTTTTATTATATTTTTTTATTTATTATTTATTTTTATTATTAAAAAAATTATTGCTTTTACGAAATTTAATTTTTTTAATTTAATATTATTTTAAAATAAATAAAGATTTATATATTGTATTTTAAAAGTTGTATATAAAAAAAGATTAAAAAAATAGATTTCTTTTATTATTGATATTATTGTACATTAAAAAATAAGTCTAAAAAAAAAAAAAAAAATTATATTTATATATAAAAAAAAATACACATAAACAGATATTTGATGTGGGAAATTTCAAATTTTTATAAAAAAAAAAAAAAAAAAGGAAAAAATTTTAAAAAAAAAAAATAAAAAATAAAAAAATAAAAAAAAATAAAAAAAAAATAAAAAAAAAAAAATTAAATTTTTTAAATTTTTTTAAATTTTTTTTAATTTTCATTTTTTGATATAAAAATCATTTAATTTACTTTTAAAAGATTTCTTATAATAAAAAATAAAAATAGAAAAAAAAAAAAAAAGAAATAATAAATCTTGACAATGGAAAAACAATTAACATTACAGACTTTATTAGATAATATAAATAATTCATACAACACATTATTTGAAAGTATAGGTAGTAATAATATAAATAATAGTAACAGTGCTACTAATAATAGTAATAGTAATAGTAATAGTAATGACCAAGATGAAGAATTATTTAAATTGAATAAATTCCATTTATATGGTAGTCTTAATATTGATGAAGTTTATAACTCAATTGATCAACAACTACAAACCATAAAGTTTACATGTCAACAATACCGTAGTTGGGACCAAGAAAGAGAAACATCTAAATTTTTAAACACACAAAAACTATATCACCAAGCACAGCAACGTGTCAATTTAATTTCGAAAACACTATTTGACTGCTCACTAAATGGGAAAGTTTATTTAAATCAACAACTACAACAAAATACAAATAATGAACAACAACAACAACAACAACAATCAAATAATAATAGTAACTTGGTTGAAATCAAAAGAAAACTTGGATTATTAATTGGTAAATTACAAGAAATGACAAATGAACTTAACCAAAAATACTCGACTTTTTGTGTGTTAGAGGATTTGCTAAGTTTATTAAAAGAAAATGACTCGTCAGAATTTAACCCAGAATCAGTTTATAGTTGCAATATTTCATCATCAACATTTTTATTAGATGTTTGTATTAAACCATAATTTATTAGTTTTTAAAATTATAATATTTTACTGACACTCTTTGTTATTTTAGATATTTATTTATGGAAATGCTGAAATTAAAGAGGTTAAATTGGTTCATATTTCATTATTAAGTGGGGAAGATATACCTGCAGAACAAGAATTTAACGATCAATTAACCAAATCATTATCAACAGATATGAAAGATTTTATTGAACGTGTTAAAAGAATTTGTGAATTAGATTTACTATTCAGAAAATATAAAACTTTTGATTTACAAAAAGCATTTTCAATTTTTCAAAATGATTTCTTAACAATCTCAAATCTTTCAAAGTATGTAATTCTACATATATAATAATAACAACAAATAATAATAATAATATACTAATTCTTTTTTTAAATTTAGGGAAAAATATTTAAATAAAGAGCTCAATTTAATTGACAAAGATAAATTATTAAAGAATGGATTTGGTGAAATTGAACTAGACAACTGTGGTGTATTAATTAAATATTTCAATCCATATATCGATCAACTATCAAAACAAAACCAAGTTTACTCATTAATGATAGAAATGGAAAGTGGAGCAGCCATATCATCAGCCCCCAATGATAAATCTGAATATTCAAAACTATCATTAAAATCACAACTATCTCAAGGTTTAACTGCAGAGTCATTCAATGAACTTTTAAATTGCTTTGATTCAAACCAATCAGAACCATCAGAAACCATTGTATCCCCAGTTAGATTAGTTTGTAAATTAAGTCAACCCCTATTAATAACTGTAGATCACCTATTAAAAATTTTAAACTTAACCAAACTTTCAAACAATGACCAACAACAGCTAATAAATTTAATAAATAGTTATAATAGCAGCAGCAATGGTAATCAAGATATTGACATTCAAGATAATAGTAATAATAATGAATATTCGATCCAAACCCAACTTAGCAATACAAATAATTTAGAATCTAAACATTTTGATATAGAGTTATTTAGTAAAACACAAAGATATTATTATACAGGTAATCATAATTTAGGTTTAAAGATTAATAGAATCCCAATAACCCACCCAATTCAAATTTTCCCAATAATCCAATTACTCAGACAACAACACACTTTTAATATTTTACTTAAAAGCTGTTTTATTCAACCAAATAACCATGGTACTACTATCAAAAACAAATATAATAATCAAAACAATGACAATAGTGATAATATACCTATTTTTGAAATTACCTCAAATCCACCAAATTCAATTAATATTATATTTTTAAATCCCACAGAAATGAATTTTAACTCAATTAATATAATAATTAAAAACAATGGTGATATCGAATCTCAATATTTTGATAACACCTCAAACTCAACACCTAATTTATTAAAATCTAATTTATTCACTAAACTATTAACAAAATCAACCTCAATTTCAATTTCATTATCTATATTTTTAACTTATAAAAATAATTAAATTAAAATATTAATACCAAAAAAAAAAAAAAAAATAAAAAAAAAAATTAATAATAATAATAATAATAATAATAATAATAATAATAATAATAATTAATATTAATATTATTAATAATAGTAGTAATAATAAACATTAAAATCGATTGTTTTTGATGTCGTTTAAAATTAATTTTATTTTTTTTTATTTTTTTTTATTTTTTTTATTTTTTTTTTATTTTTATTTTTTATTTTTTTATAAAGTTTGTTGTTTTTATAAAGAAGAAATGTTGTTTTTTCTTTATTTTGAAAAAAACTCAAGATTTTAAAGTTTGGAATTTGACGAAAAAAAAAAATTCGTTTTCTAAATTATCACTTTGAGCAAAAAAAATTTTATCAGGCAATTGTAAATCATTTAAAATAAGATGAATTCCTTAAAAATATTATTCGTGAAAAAAAGAACTGTTTGATATCCATATTTATTTATAGAGTATGAAAAAAATTGAATAAAATCAATTAATTTTGTCCCTTGGATTACAAAAGATTTACCAAGTAAAGAATTAATTATTTTTATTTAAAAAAAATATTAAATTTACCTTTTTGGTAAAAAAAATTTTAATTTTATTTTTTTCAAATTTTTTATTTTTATTTTTTTTATTTTTTTTATTTTTTAAAATAATACTAATTTTATTTTTTAAATTAATATTTTAAAATTTAAAATAATATACTACTATAATAATTCAATATTTATATATTTATTTTTATTATTTTAAAATTTAAAAAAATCCAAATTTAACAAATAATAATAAATTATTTTTTTTTATTTTTTTTTATTTTACTGTATTGACCAATAATTTTTATTTTTTTATTTATTTTAGTTTTCTTAAATAATAAACATACACATAATTTTTTTTATTTTTTTTCAACAAATTACACTTTTATAGTTTTCAAAAAAAAAAACTTTAAATATTAAACAGTTTTAGTTTCTTTTTTTTTTTTCTTTGTTCATTTCATTTGTTTTGTATTATATTTTTTTTTCTTTATAATAATAAATTAAATTTAAAAAAAAAAAAAAAGATATTTTATTTTAAAACAAATCTTTATAATAATAAAGTAATACATAATTATTATATAAAAACAATTTTTTTTTTTTAACACACCCAAATTTTAAATATTTAAATAAAAAATAATTTTTTTTTTTTATGTTTGTTTTCACATAAATATTTAAAAATAAACAATGAAATTTTTAGTTTATATTGACGATAAAGAACCATCGTTCTCTGCTTTTTACAGAGTTTTAAACTTAGTAAAAGAGAATGATTGGGTTATCATTGTTGCAAAGGTTAAATTCTATAAGGGAATTGGCCATCGTTCATCCCATGTTATGAAACATTTTACAAGATTATTAGATAAAAAACATGTAAGTATTTTTAATAATTTATTATTTTTAAAAAGAAATATTAATATTTTTTAATAATAAATTTAGATTAAAAATTTAACTTTTATAGAATATGGCTCTATTAAACATATTATTAAAAATAAAGTTAAATTGCTAAAAATCGATATGATTTTAATTGCTGCCCACAACTCAAAAACCAAAAGGTAAAAAAAATAAAAATAAAAAAAAAAAAAAGAAAAAAAAAAATAAAGATTATTAATTTGAATATTTTTTTTTTAGATTATGTAATTACTGTTCAGATAATATCTCATGTAACTTAATGGTTGTAAGAGAGTTTGTACCATTGGAAGAATATTTAATTCCTCCAAGTAACAAAGCCGATTATTCTGTACCAGGGGACTTAAACCCATTAAAGAAAAAACCTTTACAAACCTCCGAATCAATGTCCTCAATCGAATCACCAATGGCCGGTTCCAAACCATCAAGTCTTATCAACTCACCATCTATGGAAACTGTTATCCCGGTTAATAAAAAGTCCAGCAGTTTATCTCCATCAACAAGCTCCTCACTCTCTAAATCCATGGATACCACTCCGATAATGTATGAAAAGAAGAGAAATAATATCTTTGATAACAGAAACAAAGATAATTCATATGATAGTGATGAATCAGAAGAAGAAGAAGAATACAACAAAAAGACACATCATGGTAAGGCTTTAGAAGAATACCATTCTGAATATCGTCTTGTCTCCTCTCCAGCCAATTTAACTAAAAGAAAAGAAGAGGAAGAAAAATTAAGAAAGTCAAATTATCCTCAAAAATCTCATGAAATCCCATCTCAATAAATAATAATAGCCAGTAGTAATAATAATAATTTATATTAAAAAAAAAAAAAAAATGATTTAATTTTCATTAAATTTTATTATTTTTTTTTTTATTGTTTGTACACTAAAAAAATAAAAAAGTAAAAAAAAAATTTAAATAATAAAAAATATACACACCATATCTCTTTGACAGTTTGAATTTCGCAAAACATGTCATTCGTTTGGATTTATGGATCAAAAAAAAAAAAAAAATTTTAAAATTTTTTTGCATTTTCGTATTTCCGTTGCTCTGGTAAAAACGAGGGTGAAAAGGTACCTTTATTTCTATTATTTATATAATTAAAAATAAATGAATTTGTGTGTAAATAATTTTTTTATTTTATTTTTTTTTTAAAAAATTTTTAAATATTATTTTGTACAGATAAATCACACACAACTAACCATTAATTGGTTTATTTATTTAAAATAAATTAAAAAAATATATTTTTATTTTTTTATTTTTTTAAATTTAAATTTTTTTTTTTTTTGTTTTTTGGGCATATTATTTTTCTTTCAACCTTTCCTCCTGCTAAAAAAAAACTTTTTTGTCGTAGAAATTTAAAAAAAAAATTTTTTTGCATTATTTTAGATATTCCACATTCAAAGGTAAACATAAATATTATTATCTCTATAGACGATTCTGATTCTTTTCTTGTATTAATACTAATATTAATTTTCTTTTACTTTTTCTTTTTTTTTTTTTTTTTTATTCTTTATTTTTTTTTTTTTTTTTGGTTAAAAAAAAATCTTATTTAAATTTTTTTTTTTTTTTTTTGTTTCATTAATTATTTGTAAATATATATATATAAAATAAAAGTAAAAATGATCAGATCAATTTTACTTTTAGCTTTTGTTACACTCTCATGTGTATTAGCTGTTCCACAACTCCCAACCGATCAACAAGTAAGTTTTAAAATCAAAAAAATAAAAATTAATTATTATTTAAATAATAATATTAATATATATATTTTTTTAATATTGTAGTATTATATGAAAGGTACTTTTTCAATTCCATATTTTAATATTACAGAACCAATCGAATTAATTTACGATGCTACCAACAACAGACAATATATTAGTTATTATGATGGTATGGATATTACCATTAACTTTTTCAATCAAGATATTTCCTACACTATTAGCCCAGTTAAATATGAAATGACCTGTGTTTCAACTCAAGGTAATGGTACTTTAGTTAACGTTTTACCAACTGAACCATCACAATGGGCCTACAACGGTACTTCAACCGTCAATGGTGTTTCTGTTTACTCATATTTCCAAAAAATCACCCAATACGGTCGTACTGGTTATTACACTTTCTACGTTGATGCCAACGGTACTCCAGTTCAATTCTACATGAATGGTGTTGATTACGTCTTTGGCAGTCACCCAGATATTTACGTTTTAGATTTCACCACCTACAGCACCGATCTTTCACAATACGAAAGCCTCTTCCAACTCCCAGCTCTTTGCAACAATGCTGAAGAAGCTCCACTCCAAGAAGGTCAACTCTCAGGTGCATTCGAATCACTCGGTGACTCACTCAAAGTCAAAGAATCCGATCTCCAAGAAAAATTCGTTGCCTTCAAATCTGAATACGAAAAATCATACGAAAACAAAGAAGAACACGATATGCGTTTCAAAAACTACAAAGTTGCCCACAACAAAATCGTTTCACACAATGCCAAAAACCTCTCATACAAATTAGGTTTCAACCACTATGCTGATTTAAGCGATCACGAATTCAACACCCTCATCAAACCAAAAGTTGCCCGTCCATCAAACAATGGTGCTCACTCTGTCCACGATGATGAAGATATCTACACCATCCCACAATCAGTCGATTGGAGAAACCAAAAATGTGTTACCCCAGTTAAAGATCAAGGTGTCTGTGGTTCATGCTGGACTTTCGGTTCAACTGGTTCACTCGAAGGTACCAACTGTGTTACCAACGGTTATTTAGTTTCACTCTCTGAACAACAATTAGTCGATTGTGCCTACTTAATGGGTTCACAAGGTTGTAACGGTGGTTTCGCCGCTAGTGCTTTCCAATATATCATGGATGCTGGTGGTATTGCTACTGAAAGTGACTACCAATACTTAATGCAAAATGCCTTATGTAAAGATAAATCTACCACCTTCTCTGGTGTTGGTGTTTCATCATACGTTAACGTTACTGCTGGTTCAATCAATGCTTTATTAAACGCTGTTGCCACCCAAGGTCCAGTTGCTATTGCCATTGATGCTAGTGTTGATGATTTCAGATATTACCAATCAGGTATCTACAGCAATCCATCATGTAAAAATGGTCCAGATGATTTAGATCACGAAGTCTTAGCCATCGGTTATGGTACATTAAATGGTGTTGATTACTGGTTAGTCAAGAACTCATGGTCCACCAACTGGGGTATGGAAGGTTACTTCATGCTCGAAAGAGCCAATAACTTATGTGGTCCAGCCAGTCAAGCCACCTATCCATTACCAACTACTAGCAAATAAATACACAGTATTATAGTATAGTAATAAAAAAACAAACAACAAAATAATAATATATAACTAAACTTAATTGTTAATTAAATTTTAATAATTATTTTAAAACCTACCTTTAAACTACAAAGTTTTTTTTTTTTTTTATATATGGGCATCCCCAAATTTTTTTATTTTTTTATTTATTTTTTTAACTAAATTTGCAAAAGTTTATAATTTTTTTTGAACTTTAATATTAGTAAATAATAATTTTGTTTTTTTTAAAAAAAATTTTTATAACACACACTTGTAAAAATATTATCTGTATAATATTTTATATATAAATATTTTTTTTTTTTTTTTAAAAAATTATTTATATCAGAAAAAAGAAAATAAAATTATTATTTTTTAAAAAAAAAAAGAAAAGATAGAAATGAAAAAATTAGTATATTTAATTTTAATGTTAGTTATTAATATGGTATTATGGGTATTATGTGAAGGTAAGCTTATTATTTATTTTATTTTATTTATTTTTATATATTTTTTTTTTTTTTTTTAAAACTCTATTTGTATTTATTTATTAATTAATAAATTTTAGAAAAGTTAAACTCCTTCATGGATTGCCAAATATGTAATGAACTTGCTAAATCTTACAATGAAATAAATGAATGGAAATATGTACCTTTAGTACATAGATTTATTTTATTTGATCTGAATGATAAGATAGCAGTAGAAAATTTTTTATATACAAATCTATGCGAGGGAATGCAAATGTGGAGTAAAGAATTATGTGATAGTTTTTGGGGTATTTATTATAATATTAACTTATTATTTATTATTTATAAGTTTATTAATTTATATATTTTCTTAACCATTAAAAAATTTTTAGAAAAACATGCTTATGAATTATTTAAAATTATTGATAGTAAAAAGGCAATTTTTTCAAATTCATGCCTTGTTATTGGTTATTGTAAAATGATGTCCTATTAGTAATTTTTCTTTTATAATAATTTTATGAAAATTATTAGATAATTATCATTTATAAATTCATTAATTTAAAAATAAAATTCATTTCCTTTATATATACTAAGGAGTTCTTTCTTTATATTTTTTAAAATTTTTTTTAGTTCATAAACAAGTTTAGGAAATTTTTTTTTCAAATTTATAGAATCATATTGGTGTTTAATTATCATGAGCAAAATTAGTAAAAATTTTATCTTCTTTTATTCAAATCATTTTTAAATATGTTTTAAAGATAAAATAAGTTCTCAATAGGTTTTTAAAAAACTATTATTTTAATAAATAATTTTTTCTTTCTTTATTCATCAAAATACACAAACATATATCAATAATAATTTAAACTATTTTCCAATATAAATCACCTTAAAGATGCGAAAGAACCAAATATTTCATAAAAGGGGATGTAGCTCAGATGGTAGAGCGCTCGCTTAGCATGCGAGAGGTAAAGGGATCGATACCCTTCTTCTCCAAATTTTAATTTATATAAATCTTCTCGGTGATTTAAACCAAATATCCACATTTTATAATATTTTCTTTAAAAACTTTATAAAAAACATTAATAAAATTTTACTGATTAATTTAAAGCATGCAGTCTCTTTATTGGACATTGCTGTATCTGTGCACTAATTAATGCAACTCCATTATTATATATTGTTACCAAAGTTAATATTAATATCTAAAAACCAACTATTAATTTTTCAAATAAAATCAATACATTCTAAAATATTCTTTTGGTTAAAATAAAATTATTTTTATCAAACTTAAAAAAAAATAATTATTTTTATTTTATTTTTATTTTTATTTTTATTTTTATTTTTATTTTTATTTTTATTTTTATTTTTATTTTTATTTTTATTTTTATTTTTATTTTTATTTTTATTTTTATTTTTATTTTTATTTTTATTTCTTTTTACAAAAATAAAAAAAAGTAATGGGATTTTACAATTTTTGGAGGACATCTCCTTTTTAATAAACAAGATAAACCAAAATACAACTATTGTTTTAAAATTTTTCTTGATTTATATAAATCTAAAAATAAATTTATTTTTTGTAAAATTATTAAAAATAAAAAAGTATAAATTTAAAAAAAATATTTTTATTCCTTAAAAAAAAAATCTAAATATGTTATTCAGTAAGATATTTTAAAAAAAGATATTTAAAATATAAAACTAATTCTTTTTATTTCTTTAGAATCACTACAATCCATCAACTTAAAATCAAATTCCTCAAAGATCCAATTAACAGCATCAAATAACACCACCTCAACTGGTTCAAATAATATAGCTCTTTTTGGTGTTGTTGCTTTGGGACTTGAAACATCAATCACTGATATATATGTTCAACTTTAAATGTCATATTAAATGAAACACATTCTTTTAAAGTAAAACTGCTTTAAATAAAATTTATTTTATTTTCAATATAAAACATTTTTTTTATTTTTTTAATTAAAAAAAATTTTCATCATTTTTTTAAGTATATCTTTTTTTTTTTAAATATTTACAAAATACTTTTTTTTTTTTTTTATTATAATAAAAAAAAAATTTAAAATAATCATTTTTTTTTATTTTTTTTTTAGTTTTTTTTTTAGTTATTATTTTTCCATGAGTTTAGAAATGAAGTCATCGAAAATTCTTTTTTAACTTTATCGGGTCTGTCTGAAATTGATCCATAACCATCAAAAGATGAAGATTCCTTTTCTTTTGGTTCACAAATTAAACTTAGTTTATACTTTGATTTTTGAGATTGAATTGAAGGTAAATTATTTAAATAACGTTGAGTAATTTCTTCGGTTTCTAAATGGTATTGTTGTTGGTATTGTTTGAGTTCTCTAATGACAACTGATATTTTTCTACATTTTTCAAAATTTATAATTTCTTCATCTTGATTTAAATGATTCTTCATACCATCCTCTATAAAAGTTAAATGAGTTAAATAAACACCTAAATAAGGTATACATGGTGGATGAATATTGTGGAGCTCTTGAATATAGTTCTTATAGTTGGAATCATGTCTTGCTTTTAATTAGCTTCATTTTTTAAAAAAAAAATAAAAAAATGTAATTACATGTGTAGTCTCGCAGGTTTTCTGAATCACACACAATTTAAAAGGTCGTATTATAATCTAAATGATAATTAAAGATTGAGGATCTTTTAATGATAGATATATTGTATTTAATTTTTAAAGAATTTTATTTTGAAGTGTGATCTTGTTTATTTTTAAAAGATTGATTGAATGGTGTAAAACTACTTTGTAAATCGTGAATATTTAAAGTTGATCTATTCACTATGCAACAATCAAGATTATTATTTTTTAACCTTTTATTTGATTATGTAAATTACCCACATTCTATTTGAGAATTAAATAAAAAAAACAAAAAAAAAAAAAAAAAAAAATAATTGAGGGTAATAACTGATAATTATTAAAAATATTTTTGAAGTGTGAGCACAACCACTTGGTAATATTAAAAAGTTTTTTTATTTCCAATTAATTGAATTAATTTAAATAAAAAAATTTATGGGGGTTGCAATTTACAAAAGGGTTAAAAACAAACTGTTTTAATTAAAAAAAATGTTTTTTATTTTTTTTTATTTTTTTTTTATTTTATATATTTTACTTTTTTAAAACTTAATAATCATATACATTTTTTTATATATATTTATATTATAAATAAAATATTTTTTAATAAGAAATGGGTATTTCTAAAGAAGAGGTAAAGGGAAAAATTATTGAATTCTTACAATCAAGAGGGGTTTACAGTGTTGATGTAGGAAATCAAGTATTGGTAGATTTTGGATGTTTGTATTTAAGGTTTTTTATATTTTTTTTTAATAAATATTTAACATATTAATTTTTTTTTTTTTAAAAGTGGGTAGCATAACATTAATAGAACTAGGTCAAATCTTAGAAGGTGCTTATGATAAAGAGATCTCATTTGAAGAGTTTAGTACAAAAACAGTAGATGAATTAGCAGAATCTATTTCTTCATAATATTCAAATTGTTTTTTTGTCTTAAAAACACAATTTAAAATTTAATTTTTTTTTTAATAAAAACTATTTAATTTTCATATTTCAGTTTTTTTAAAAAATGAAGATGATTCTTAATGATACATAAAGTCATCAGTATTTTTATTTTGTTTTTATTTGTTTTATATTTGATAAAACTTTGCAACACTGTTTTTTTTTTAAAAGTGAAATAAGTAGGGTTTTATATGATTTTAACTTGCCACAAATCTTTTTTTTTTAAAGTAAAGATGTTTGTTAATGATATATTAAGTCATCAGTGTTTAATACTTATATTATTTTTACCACACTATATTATTTTTCTATAACTAAAGTAGCTCCATCTACATTACAACAAGTTGGGGAGAACCAATCATCATTTTTTTTTTAAAAAGTGAAGATTTTAAATTAATCAGCAAAATTTTTTTTTAATAATATATTAAATATTATTGGTATAAGCGAAAGTGTTTATTTATATTAAAATAAGAAGAAGTAAGGGTTGTGGTAAGGTTGAAACAACCTATCTAGTTTAAGAGGTTTTTTTTCCTTAGATTTTTTTACAGGTGATTTCGGACTACCTGATTGGTACGGAGTGGATTTGATTGGCGTGGATATTTGGCTAACATTTCGAGTACGGTTACTTTTTGTGGTGGTATTCGTATTTGTTATGGCGGTTTTATTTTTGGAATTTTGTGAAGCTAATCTTGTAAAGATTTTGTTTAGTGCGTTAACCCTTAATGTTCTTGAGGGTTTGTTGGTTGATGATTTATTGTCATCTTAAGGTGATTGGTTTTATTTGTTTGTTTGTTTCGTCATTTTATTATTTTTTATTTTTTTTATTTTTTTATTTTTTTATTTTTTTTTTTTTAAAAAGCTTAATAATATAATAAATATTATTAGTGTAAGCGACGGTGTTTATTTATATTAAAATATAAGAAGAAGTAGGGGTTGGGGTAAGGTGTGTTGGGGGCAAGGTTGAAACAACCTATCTAGTTTAAGAAGTTTTTTTTTCTTAGATTTTTGTTCAATAGCAGGTGATTTTGGACTACCTGATTGGTACGTAGTGGATTCTTTTTTGATAAATTAAAATAATTGTAGATGGATCGCCTAGGCGACGTGCAAAGGTATTCCCTGTAGTATGTGCCTGCTAGACGCTTGCATCCAAAAATCAATCACAAATCACCAAGAAGATAAAATATGTTAAATAACTAAATTTGCGCATGCTGGGAATCGAACCCAGTTCGCATCCGTGGCAGGGATGCATCATACCACTAGACCACATGCGCTCTGTGATAGAAAATAAAAATTTTGCGTCCTTTAGGTTTTTATTGAAATCTTTTTGGGTTTTTTTCATAAATAAAAAGTAAAATAAAAAAAATAAAAAGAGACTATTTAATGTTTTTGATGTTTGAAAAATGAGATAGCTTTCATTCAGGTTATAAAAAATAAATTAATTGAAACTTGGTGTAAATATTTTTTATTTAAAAAATTAGACTGATTTTTTCTTTGCTGATGATTTTTTGATGTAGGTTTTGATGTAAAAGGCACCAAAGAGAGTAACAAAACAAAGCATATAACCAATCATAAGCCAGTGTAAACCCTATAATTAAAAAATGAAACATTAATATCAATATAAAGTTTCAAAGATTGATTTAAAATAAACATTATTCTTTTACTTTTACGAAATTACAGTCATTATAAATTGAGTAACCAGAGGCAGCAATGTTTACAACGAATTGAATAAGTTGAATTTGAGTTAAATATTTCTTCCACCAAACATTGATACCAAATAAAGCTAATGTATAATAGCTGTACATTATTGAATGTATAATTGAATTCATTAAAGCTGAAATATAACTATCACCACCTGCAACATACCAACAAACTAAAATCCATGGTATTGGCATTGTTGAATGATGAAATACATGTAAAAACTATTTATTATGTTAATATTTTTTTTTTAAAGAGAGATATTATAATTGTTAAAAACTTACTGTAATTTGATTATCTTTTTTTCTTAGAACCCTAAATTATTGGTAAAAAAATATTAGTAATTTGTTATAAAAAAAATAAATAAATAAGACTATTTACATAAAAATTGTATCTATAAATTCAATGAATTTTGAAAAATAAAATAACCAAAGAACTTTTGCCATCTGTTAAAAAATTTTATATTTTAGTAAAATAATAATTAAAATATGGTAGTATTCTTTTACTTACACCAATACCTTTTTCGCTGTAGTCAACAGGATTGCATACTAATGAATAGTCATTAGCATTTGCTTGATGTAAGATTTCAAATACCATATATACACTGAGAAGTGTACAAAATGCGTTATGGATGATTAGGGGATATCTTAAATTGAATGGTTTTTGAGTTTTCATTAATTTTTTACCAAAGAAAATTATAAAATAATATGATAATATTAATATTATCATATCTTGTGGTTTGTTTACCAAAGGAAGGTTTAAAAGTCTTTCATCTATAATTATGAGAAGATAAATTTTTGGTATTAGTATAAAAAAATATAATTAATTTAAATAGGGTGATGTTAATTCTTACCTCTTCTTGATAAATAATAGTTATATGTTTCTGATAAACTATTATAATATTTATTATATATTAAAGTAAATTCTGTCATTTTGATATATACTATGGTATTTAATGATATAAATTAAAATAATAATAAAATTTTTTTTTAAAAAAAAAAAATTAATTAAAAAATATTAAAATAAATATCCACACCGCTATAATCAATCACTAAAATCTTCCCAAGAGATTAAGAGAGAAAGAAAAACTTTAGCCTGTTCATTAATATGATTATTTGAAAATATTGATGATAATTTTAGTGTTTTGTAAATTGCAAAAAATTTAAAAAAATTAAAAAAAAAAAAAAAAAAATAAAATTTAAAAAAAAAAAAAAGAAAATCTTTTTAAAGTTTTTTATGTTTTAAATAAATGACAAAAAAAATTATAATTAATATTTAATTTGAAATTTATTATACTTTTGTCAACAAAAATCAGATTAAAACTCCCAAACCCAATATTAAAATAACATGGGTTTTAAAAAAATTAAACAATTATATTAAATAATCTATATTATATAATTCCTTTTTCTTTTTTTTTGTATTAAAATATATGCCGAGTATTATAATTTTTTTTATTGTTATTTTTATTTTTTGGAGGCGATTCAGGTTGGGAGTAAATGCTACTAAAAAAAAGAAAAAATTTATTATAATATTAATTTTCAAAAATAGATATATTTTTGGATACTGCACCATATCTAAAATGATATAATAAAATTGAACAAATAAATTATAAATAAAAAAAATATATTTAAAAAAAAATTATAATTTTTAAATTAAAAAAAAAAAAAAAAAATTTTTAAAAAAAAGTTATCGGTTTGTCTTATGTGGTCGATTTCAAAAAAAGTGCATTATAAAATATTTTATAATTTTATTTTATATAATTCCTTTCCCTATCAAAATTTCCAGTTCAATACATTTGATAAAATACTGCATCAATTGGTATTTAAAATCTGCTGGTATTCACTTACTTTCTATCAATCAAATAATACTTTTTTTTCAAAACTAAGCAAAATTTAATTAAACTAAAAATAAATGGGATTTTTTTTTTTCTAAAATAAATATCCGATATCATTTTTTTTACAATAATTGTGGAGATCGCAACTTTTTCTCTGATAAGTGGTATTTTTTTTTTTTAAAATTATTTTAAAACATTTATTTTTCTTTTAGATGAAATTTTTTTTTTTTTAAATTTATTTTTATAAAACTTTTAAAAATAAATAAATAAAAATGAAAATTATTTTTATTTGTATAATAATTTTAATATTAGGAGTAAATTTAAAAAGTGTGAGAGCTTGTTCCAGTTTGGGTAATTGTCCTCAATTAGGTGAAAGTTGCGAAGGTTCTTGTGCTCCAGGTTTAGATTGTGTTGATGGTGAATGTATATCAATGATTATCTGTGATCCCAAATTACCAATTACTCAAGATACCTGTACTTCTTCAAATTTATGCACAAAGAGAAATGATAATGTTGGTGTTTGTTTACCATATGTTGCTTTAAAATCAGATGGATCAGCCCCATGCAGCAGACCAGCCAACTGTGCCTCAAACCAATGTGAAAATTCAAAATGTATCCCATTTCCAACAGCTATGTGTTATTCTGGTAAATATTTATAATAAAAAAAAAATTGTAATAAATTTAAAAATTAATTTTTCTTTTATTTTTTAAAAATTATAGATTCTGAATGTGGTTATAACTCCTATTGTAAAGTATCCTCACCTGGGGGCCCAGTAGGTATCCCAATGAGCATTTGTACAAGCAAAAATGCTATGGGAACCTGTACATCCCCAAATGAATGTTCTAGTGGAGTTTGTGTTAATGGTAATTGTGCCGCAATTTACTCTGGAAAAGAAAATGATGCTTGTTCTTTTTCAACCCAATCATTTCCATTAACTAATCCATGCGATATTGGTTTAACAGTAAGTATTCTCATTTATTAAATAGATAATAAAAAATATTTAAAATTTTAAAATCTAATTTCTATTTAGTGTATGGGTGGTAAATGTGTTAAATATGAAGAAAAAGAATGTAGTAGCACTATCTCATGTAGTCAATACGAAACCTGCCAATGTACTGATGGTGCTATTGGTGAAAGTGGAGTATGTAAAATTAATTACAAACTAAATGCTGAATGTAAAACTGCGACTGCTGCTATTATTGCCTGTGCAAATTCTCACAATGTATATGTAAATACCAACAATTATGTATTACAGCAATCATGTAGTAATGAATATTGTGATTATAAAAACAAATGCTTTAATCCAGAATATTTTGGATGTAGTCAAACTGAACTTTTTAAAATGTGCCCCTCTGATGACTATACAAAACCAATCGATACCGATAGCTCCAATTCAAACTCTACATCATCTTCAAACTCTACTTCATCTCACGACTCATCCTCATCAAACCAAAACTCATCCAATTCTTCATTTTCATCGTCATCATCAGAAGATCATGTAAATTCATCATTTAACACTGCTCCTTCACTAATTATTTTAATATTAATTTTAACTATTTCTTCTTTCTTCTAAAATAATAAAAATAAATTTTTTTTTAATATTTAAATTTAAATTTATATATTATAAAATAAAAATAAATATTTTTTCTATTTTATTCATTTTATTTTTTCTATTTTTTTATTCATTTTAATTTTTTTATTTTTTAGAAAATATTTTATAAAATTTTTTTTTTGGTGTTTGTTTCAAGAAAAGCTTGTTAGTACTGTATATTTTATGTTATAGTGTTACTATATATAAATATGAATTATAAAGATTATATTAAATCTTTATTAAGATAGAGTTACAAAACAAAGTGAAAGAATTAGAAAAAAATATTTTGGAGTTATTTGAGTCATTAGTTGTTTCTGGTTTCCATTTTTTAATATGCGTAGTTATTATCTACCTTAACTTATGTGTCTTTGTATTTCATTTGCTATATTTGAAGGTGATAAAAAAAAATTAATAAAAAATAATTAAAAAAACAATTAATATTTTAAAAAAAATAAACAATTAATATTTTAAAAAAAAATAAATAAACAATTTTTTTTTAATTTTTTTTTTTGAAAATTAATAAAAAATAAAATAAGAATCCCGCTCCTAACATTTTAAGGGTTAACATTGTATATTTTATATTATAGTGATAGTATATATAATATAAATATGAATAATAAAGATGATTTTGAATCACCAGAATCATCAGATCGTGAATATTCAAGTAAAGAATGTGAAATAAAAATAAAAAAATTAGAAGAACAGATAGAACAGTTAAAAATTCAAATAGAAGAAAAGGATGAGATTATTGAAAATTTAAATCAAACAAATAAAGAAGATATAAATGGGATAACATACCATATTACAATGGAATTTTATTTATTAGGCAAAATCCATAAACCAGAAATAAATGAAAAGGATAAAACAATTAAAAAGTTACAAGAAGAAGAGTTACAAAACAAAGTGAAAGAACTAGAAAAAAATATATCAGAGTTATTTGAGTGAAATAAAAAACTCAAAGAATCGATTAACAGTTTAAACGAGAATTATGAAAAACTTGAAGATGATTTAAAAGAATTAGCAAAAAAAGTTGAAAAAATAACAATTGAAAATACATTATACCACAACAAAAATTATAAAGATCCAACAATCTCAGCATATATTCATTCATCCAAAGTATCAAAATTTTATCTTGAAAAAATATTGTTGCCCCTTTTTGAAGAAACTGCTGGATACAGAGAATATATTAATAATTATAGACCCAAAGAAAAACCTTCTTTTGAAGATTATTTTTATCACAAGTACGAATTAGATCATGAAATTGTCAAGAAAGCAAATGATCTTCATGGAGTAAATGTAAAAATAGTTCGTCACTTAATAAATTACAGATATGGTGTAGCACTTTGTTTTGAAGGGAATATTGTCGATATTGGTTATTCAATGGACAAAGCACTGACCTTGGGTCCTCATCTTGCATACGGTGAACATGAAGAGTTGATGAAAACTATGGAACCCCATATTAAAAAATGGAAACCAGAACCAACTAATGACGAAGGAATGAATAAAAGATTTTAATAAAGGTTTTAATCTCATTTTACTATTATCTCATAATCTAAAATTTATTTATTTATTTTTATTCACATTAAATACATACACAAAAATAAAATAATTTATGGTTTATAAGCCGAATGAAATGATATATCATTATTCAAAAATATAAATAGCATCTAATAGTATCATTTTAATTTTTGGTGCCCAATATTGTTGTTTTATTTTTTTATTTTTTTATTTTTTTTTTTGTTTTAGCAATGTGTCAAGTTTGGAATTGTTTTTTTTTTTTGAAAAATTTTGACTAAATCCTGAAATATTCCCATTTCTTAAATTTTTATCAAAGGTTTTATTCAAATGGTTGCTTATTTTAAAATTTAAAAATAATTTTTTTATTTTTTTATTTTTTTTAAAATTCAATTCTTATCTTTTTAACAGCTATAATAATGATTTGAAGTTTAATTTTGGTTTAAGTATTGAATAATAGAAACAAAATATTATACAATCCAAAATTTTCATTTTATAATTCTAATTTTTTTTTTTTTTTTTTTGTTGATTAAGACAATTTTATTTTATTTTAAAAATGCACTCTTAAAAAAAACGAACTTAAAAATTATTTAATATTTTTTTCTCAACTTTTATTTTTTAAACTCTAGAGCTTACGTTTATAAAGAAAAAAAAATTTATTTTACCTTATCCAATTTTAAAAAAAAAAAAACTAATTTCCAAACAAGTATAAAAAATGTAAATAAATAACAAAATTAATTTATTATTTTATTTATTCTATTATATCAAAATTTAAAAAAAGTAAAAATATTAACCAACAACATTCATTAGTATGATTAGTCGAGAGTTAATGGATTTTAATGACGGGTACCCGACACTAGATGATTTAAATGTAGATTCTAGTAAAAAAGCTTTAACATTTTTAATGATGAAATTTCAATGAATGCAAACCTTAACGATCCAGAATCATTTGTTAATGAAAGTGAAGAGCAAAATAGACTTCGAGGCTACTTTATCGATTCCCAAAGAATGGCCAGAGACAATGGAAACAAGGCAAAAAGGATTGGTATTACTTTTAAGTCGCTTACAGTTGTAGGAAAAGGTGCTGATGAATCTATTATAAATGATATGTCAAGTCCACTTTTTTCATTTATCGATTTATTTAAAAAATCAACTTGGTATGTATCCAGCTATAGGAGAATGCTATTCTTTATTTAAATAATTATAAATATATATATTTTTGTATACCATTTTTAAAAAGAACTCATATAATATAAACACATTTTCCTTAATCCCTTTTTTTATTTTATTTTTTATTCATTATCACCAAATCACAGTATTTTTTCTTATATAAACATATAAATATATTTATGGATAAAAATTTTAATACTAATAGTTTAATAAAAAATAGGAAAAAAAAAACATCTCAGTTTGATATTCTTCATGATAGTATGTATATACCAATAAATTTAAAAAAACCTTATTTTTTTTAATTATATTTATTTATTTATTTTTAATAGTTACTGGTTTCTGTAAAGATGGAGAAATGCTACTTGTATTAGGTAGACCTGGTTCCGGTTGTAGTACTTTGTTCGTGTTCTTTCTAATCAAACCAAATCATATGTTTCTGTCAAAGGAGATATTACCTATGGTGGAATCGAATCAAAGAATTTTAAATATAAATCTGAAGCCATTTACACACCAGAAGAAGATTGCCATCATCCTACACTTACAGTTAGAGAAACATTAGATTTTGCTCTTAAAGTAATTATATTTAAAGTAATTATATTCTTTGTATAAATAAAAATTAATTTTTTTTTAGTGTAAGACACCAACAAATAGATTACCTAATGAAAATAAGAGAACTTTTCGTGAGAAGGTTTTTGGCTTATTATTGACCATGTTTGGTATGGTGCACCAGGCAGATACAATTGTTGGTAATGAGTTTATTAGAGGTCTAAGTGGAGGTGAAAGAAAACGTCTAACTATCACTGAAGCAATGGTTTCGGGTTCTTGTGTAACATGTTGGGATTGTTCAACAAGAGGTCTTGATGCTGCATCTGCACTTAATTTGGCAAAATCTCTTAGAATTACGACTGATACACTTCATAAAACTACAATAGCTTCTTTTTATCAAGCATCCGATTCAATTTATAAATGTTTTGATAAAGTGTTGATTTTAGAAAAAGGTTTGTTATTAACAATTAATTTTATATTTAAAAAAATCATTTATTAAAAGTAATATTTTAAAAATGTAGGTCGTTGTATATATTTTGGTCCAGTTAATAAAGCTAAACAATACTTTTTAGACTTAGGTTTTGATTGTGAACCAAGAAAGTCAACTCCAGATTTTTTAACTGGTGTTACCAACCCACAAGAACGTATTGTAAAAAAAGGATTCGAAGACATAGTACCAATTACATCTGGTGATTTTGAAGAGGCATGGAAAAACTCAAATCTCTATCAAATATCAATGGACCAATTAAAAGATTATGAAATTCAAACAGAAAAGAGTCAACCAAGTAAAGATTTTATTCAAGAGATCAAGAATGAAAAATCGAAAAGGTTCACAATATACAACGTCATTTGTAACACAGGTAGTTGCATTAGTAAAAAGAAACTTTTCGATGGTTTGGTGTGATAGATTTGGAATCTTTAGTAAATATTTCTCGGTAGTTATTCAAGCGTGCCTTTATGGATCTCTTTTTTACGATATGAAAAATGATATGGCTGGTGTATTTACCCGTGGTGGTGCTATTCTTGGGAGTATTTTCTTTAATGCTTTTCTTTCTGTAGGTGAAATGCAAGCAACATTCTTCGGCCGTAGAATTTTGCAAAAACATTCATCTTATAAAATGTATCGTCCATCAGCTCTACATATTGCCCAAGTGGTAAATGACTTACCATTTATCTTTGTACAAGTAATACTATTCTCGTCAATTGTTTACTTTATGTTTGGTCTTACTCCCAAAGCTGGCAAATTTTTTATATTTATTTTTATAAATATTGGTGGTGCTTTGTGCTGTACTGCATTATTCCGTTTATTTGGTAACCTATGTCCATCAATCTATGTTGCTCAGAATATCCTTAATGTATTTATGATATTCCTATTCACTTTTGCTGGATACACAATCCCTAAAGACAAGTTAGATGAAATTTCGTGGCTCGGTTGGTTCTTTTGGTGTAAGTAAAATGGATTAAAAATTATATAGACCAACTATATTAACGATTATTTTATTTTTAAAAAAAGGTAATCCATTTTCATATTCATTTAAAGCTTTAATGGAAAATGAGTTTGTAGGTTTGGATTTTCAGTGTACTCAAGAGGCCATTCCATACGGTGGGTTTTATCAAAACTATAGCTCATATAGAATATGTCCAGTTGCTGGTTCAAACCAAGGTGAATTAAAGTTTACTGGTAGTTTTTATTTAACCAAAAACCTATCATTTCCGACCAATCAGTTAGCATTAAATACCATTGTTGTGTATTTATTTTGGATTCTCTTTGTAGTTTTAAATATGATTGCTGTAAGTAAAATTATTTTTCAATCCCATGATTGACCCTATCAAAAAACTAATATCTTTCTAATAGTTGGAAGTTTTAGATCACACATCTGGTGGATATACTCATAAAGTATATAAAAAAGGTAAAGCCCCCAAAATAAATGATGTAGAAGAAGAAAGAAATCAGATTGAACTTGTTGCTAAAGCTACTGCAAATATGAAGAACACACTTGAAATGCACGGTGGTATTTTCACATGGAAGAATATTTACTATACCGTTCCTACTCCAAGTGGAGAAAAGTTACTTTTAGACAATATAGATGGATGGATAAAACCTGGTCAAATGACTGCTTTAATGGGGGCAAGTGGCGCTGGTAAAACAACACTCTTAGATGTTTTAGCAAAAAGAAAAACATTAGGTTTTGCTATAGGAGATTGTACACTAAATGGCAAACCATTAGAAATTGATTTTGAAAGAATTACAGGGTAAATAATAAAACATTGTTTTTTTTATAAAAAATATTATACTAACATTTATTCTCCATTAAATTCAGTTACGTTGAACAAATGGATGTTCATAATCCAGGCCTAACAGTTCGAGAAGCATTAAGATTTTCAGCAAAACTCCGTCAAGAACCATATGTCTCAATAGAAGAGAAATTTAAATACGTTGAGCATGTCCTTGAGATGATGGAAATGGCACATTTAGGTGACGCATTGGTCGGTAATTTAGAAACCGGTGTTGGTATTTCCGTAGAAGAAAGAAAACGTTTGACAATTGGTTTAGAGTTGGTTGCAAAACCATATTTACTCTTTCTTGATGAACCTACATCTGGTTTAGATGCCCAAAGCTCCTACAATATCATCAAGTTTATTCGTAAATTAGCAGATGCTGGGATGCCATTGGTTTGTACTATTCACCAACCATCAAGTGTTTTGTTTGAACATTTTGACCGTATTCTACTCTTAGGCAAAGGTGGCAAAACTGTTTACTTTGGAGATATTGGTGAACGTTCAAATGTTCTTTCTTCTTATTTCGAACATTATGGTGTTAGACCATGCACACAAAATGAAAATCCCGCTGAATATATGTTTGAAGCACTTGGTACAGATGTTAATTGGCCAGATGTTTGGGCTCAATCACCCGAAAAAGCTGCAGTTACAGAGGAACTGAATCAATTAAAAGATACTATCAACCAAGAATTTATTAAACATGGCGAACCTAGAGAATTTGCAACACCACTGTGGTATCAATTTAAAGAAGTCTACAAAAGATTAAATCTCATTTGGTGGAGAGACCCATACTACACATTTGGGAGCATGGGTCAAGCAATAATCTGTGGTCTAGTAATAGGTTTTACATTTTACAACCTTAAAGACTCATCATCTGACATGATCCAACGTGTATTCTTTATTTTCGGAACTCTCATTCTAGGTATTCTCTTGATTTTTGCTGTTATGCCTCAAATTATCATTCAAAAAGCATACTTTACTCGTGACTTTGCTTCAAAGTACTATTCATGGTTACCTTTCACTTTGGGCATTGTTATTGTAGAGCTGCCATATACAATTGTTTCTGGTACACTCTTTTATTTCTGCTGCTTCTGGACCTCTGGTTTAGACTCCAACCCCAGTTCAAACTTTTATTTCTGGATCACCTATATCCTATTTATGATTTTCTGTGTCACATTTGGTCAAGCTATTAGTGCATTTTGTATCAATAATTTACTCGCTATGACAGTATTACCACTGTTATCTGTCTACCTATTTTTATTCTCTGGTGTTATGGTGTAAGTTTTTATTAATTTATTGTTTTAACTAAATTTTAAAATATAAATATAATATTAATATTAATATCTTTATCAATTCTATAGTCCTCCATCAAATATTCATGGATTCGAGAAATGGATGTACTATGTAAACCCAACCAAATATCTCCTCGAAGGTATTTCAACAAATGTATTAGATTCTGTTCAAGTTCATTGCACAAATAGAGATTTAGTTTTATTCACCTATCCAACAGCAAACTTTACATCATGTAAAGATTATACAAGCCAGTTTGAGGCAATTATAGAATCGGGCTATGTTGACAATAACGAAAATGGTACATTACCAGAAGGCTACTGTGGCTATTGCAATTATAAAAGTGGTGAAGAATTACAAAACTTTAGGTTGGTCCTCAAGTAATAAATGGTGGAACTTTTTAATTTTATGTGGATATGTTTTATTCAATATTATAATGACAATAGGTTTCATCTATTTAACAAAAAAAGGAAAAAGATAAATTTCATATCTCTTTCTAAAATAAAATTTATTAAATTATATTAATATAATTTAATCAGTCACTTTAAAAAAAAAAAAACTGGTAAATTTATTTTATTTTTATTTTTATTTTTTTTGGCATCCTAAAAATTTAAAAAAAAAATAATAAAATAAATTTCTTATTTTTTTTCGAAAAAAAAAATAAATCAAAATTCATCTATTTATTTTTGCACACACACAAACACAGTGTTGTTTTTTTTTCTTTTTTTTATTTAAATATATATATTTTTTTGTAAATAATTGTTTTTATCTATTTTTCACACACTTAAACACCCTCTCAATTTGTCTCTATTTTTATCTTTTTTATTTTTTTTTAATTCAATTTTTTTTTTTCTAAAAATTTTTTTTTAAATAAATTATGATTTAATATAGTTAATAAATATAATATATATATAAATATATTTAAAATATTTAGTTTTTCACTCATCTAAAAATTAAAATTAAAAAAAAAAAAAAAATTATAATAATATTTTTTTTTTATTTTCAAGTAATATTACTTCAAATTTTTTTTTTTTAATTTTATTGTTATCTTTTTTTTTTTTTTTTTTTTTGTAATAATTATTTCCACATGTAAATAATAACAGTAATAAAAAAGTAATAAACAAAAAAATAAAAAAAATTAAAAAAAAATGTCAAAAGATTTTATTATTCCTTTAATTTTATTGGTACTCTATGCAGTTGTAGGGTTTATCGCGATAGTATCAGTATTCATAGAGTTATATATACACAAGGCATCTTGGAATTCAATAAAGATCTTTTTTTATAGTTTATTAATTTTACAATGTTTATGTAGAGCCATTATACTTGGATGGGGAATGATAGAGTCGGTGCAAGGTGGTGAATTCTATAGCAATTTTCCATCACTATTATTTATTTCGTATTGTGGTTTAATTGCCTTACAAATGTAAGTCAATTTAAATAATAAATAATATGAAAATAAAAAATTTATAATAATAAAATTTAAATTTATTTTAGGATACAGTTTTTACCAGATGATAACCAATATTTATTAGATTATTCAAAAAAGACACATTCAAGAAGAGTTAAAGTTGCAACTAATATATTAATAATGTTTAATTTATTTATGTACTTTGGAATGTTTTTACTATTTGGGATTGCAGAAAAACAAATTGGAAACTCAACAAGTTTTAATCGTCATGGTCACAATTCAACAGATAGCATTGATGGAAATTCTATCAGTTTTTTTAATTCATCATCAACATCATCATCATCATCATCAGAAAAAATTTATGTCTTTGGTGATAAAGATCCAATTTACATCATTTTAGATTGCTTTTATTTTGCATGTTTATTGATTTTATTTTCATCACACCTATATGTTGGTTGGAAGACCTATAAAAGAAATAAAGACCTTTTTGGAATACGAGTAAGATTATTAATTTAAATATAACATGCATACTACATATATCATCTATAGAAATACTAATTATTGTTTTATTTTTAATAACAGTTAAATTTAATTCATTTAGTAGTAATAGTTAGTATATTTATTAGATCAGTATTGGTTGTAGTTGATCCATCATCACCAGAAAACTCCATATTGCATATTGAAACCAAGTCATGGGTAATATGGGTCTACACAATGTCATACTATATAGTTGGTGAAATTATACCAGGTTTATTATTAATCAGTATAGAGTTTTTATTACCATATCACAAAAAGAAAGACTATATAAATATTGGAGGAGAGTTATCAAGCTATCAAGACGTATGGAAACCAGAGAATATAGCGATTCACGAACTTTTAGGAATGGGTGGTAGTGGAGCAATGGTACATCGTTGCACTGTCAAAAAAGGCCCATTAAGAGGTGGAACATTTGCGGTCAAAGTTATGAAAGATTGCACACCAGAAGATCAAGAGTCATTAGAGAACGAAATTTTAGTTTATGAAAATTTGAAATCACCATATATCGTATCATATCAAGGCAGTGCTAAACTATCATCAAAGAACGGAATGGTTTATGAAATTCGTTTATTTATGGAATACATACCACACACACTTGACAAATATTTATTAGCAAGATCAGTAACTGGTGATAAAATTGACCATAATGGTGGTGGAAATGGAGGATCAAACTACTTGTTAAAGAACTACCTTCTTCACATGCAAGAGTACACTACCACCGGTGTATCACCTCAAAATAATATTGGTGCCAAATGTTATCCATACTATTTCACATATCGACAAATTGTATGGTACCTATATCAGATTTCAATTGGTTTGGATACCTTACACAACAACAGAATAGCACACCGTGATTTAAAAACAAACAACATTTTTGTAACATTATCAGACTCACATATCAAAAATTGTAAAATTGGTGATTTCGATATTAGCAAATCTTTTAATAATAAATATTACAAATTAAAACAACAAAATCAACAAATTGATCAATTAACAAATAAATATTATACTTTTGGTTTTTCAAATAATCAACAACAAATACCACCACCAGATAATAATAATAATAATAATAATAATAATAATAATAATAATAATAGTAATAACAACAACAATAATAGTAATAATAATAATAATAATAATAATGGAAATAGTTATATTTCAATTCAAACAGCTTTTCAACAGGATATTTTAGCTTTTGGTATCATTATATTGGATCTTTTGACATTAAATAATTATTCATGCTTAAATAATAGAAATATAATAACGGAAAATAACTTAAAGATACCCGAGTCACTACCAGATTATATCAATAGAGATTTAAATCTATGGTCTCCAATAATAAATCTTTACAAGAGTTGTACTGCCAATGAACCAAATATGAGACCCTCCTCAATAGAAGTAAAATATGTTTTATCTGATCTTTATAAAAAAATTATTGAAACTGGTTTATCTGATGATATAATATTTTTACCCAAAGATTTATCAAGACACTAAAAAAATAATAAAAAAATAATTTCTTTTATTTATTTATTTATTTATTTATTTTACAATTAAAGAAGAATAATAATGTTTTATTTTATCTTTTTTATTTAATTTTTTATGTTTAATTATTATTTTATATTTTTGTTTTAAAATTTAAATTTTATATTTTATGTTTTATATTTTTTATTTTATATTTTAAAATTTAGATTTTTTTTAATTTGGTGTTAACATAACACAATTTTATTATAATCCCAAAAACAATTATTTTATTTGGTAATGTTGATATGGATATTTAATTTAAAATCAATAAAAGAATTTGATTTTAAAAAAGAAAAATAATATCTAAATAAAAAAAAAATAGAATTGCGTGAAAATTTATTTTTATTTTTATTTAGAAATTATCTTTGCTAATTCGTTAGAATTTAATAATGATAATAATACTATGTGGTATTTTTATTTAAATAATTTAAAATTATATTTATAAATACAATTATATCATTAACATTATTTTATTATTCATTTTAAGTTAATAATTAAATAAAAATAAAATATAAAATAAAATAAAAAGATATTTAATTTTTTTTTTTTTTTTTAAAATTTTATTAAAAAAAAATAAAATTTTTTTTTTTGAATTTTTTGAATTTTTTTTTTATTTTTTTATTTTTTTATTTTTTTTTTTATTCTCTACCTGTAATAAAAGCTCGCGCAGAAGCACTATATAAAAATTTATTGACTTTTTTTTTTTTTTTATTATTATAATAAAAAAACAATATTATCCCATTTTTTTTTTACACTCTACTTCTTCATTGTTGATAGAGTAACACATAAAAAATCACACCACTTTTTTTATTTAATATTTTTTTTTTAATTTTTTTAAATTTTATCTACAAACCACAATAAATTATATTTTTTTATATAACACACACATCAACAAAAATATAAAACAAAAATCAATGAGAAATTAATAGATAATAATATAAATATTTTTTTAAAAAATAAAAAAAAAAGAAAAAAAAAAACAGAACAAACATGTCAAATCACAATCAAGAGAATTTATTTGAAAAATTTCAAAAAAATAGACAACATACAACGTCATTTAGCAATCAACAAAGTAAAACAGCACCATTACCAAACTCATCTGGTATTGGTATTGGCTCATCAATTAATGTTTTAAATAATCAAAATAATCAAAATAATAGTAATAATAATAATAGTAATAATAACTCTGCAAATGTTACAAATAATACACCCACAAATACCCCAACTAATAATGTATCAACACAAGGAACAGGTACAAATAAAATGCCATTAAGAGCAATTGGATCAGCTAGATTTAAATCAAACCCAGATTTCAAAGAACAAAATCAAGATATATGGAGATCAACAAAAGGTCAACAAATTTCAGATCTATTATGGAATCAGTTTAAATTTCTTTTGCAAACACAATCAACACAAACTCAACAATCATTATCCTCCTCATTACAATCATTTTCATCAACAAACGAAGTAAGTTATTATGACACAAATCTATGTTTTTTTAAAAAATATAAACTAATTAGTTTTTTTTAAAATATTTTTTTTAGATTAATAATAAATTATTAGAGTTTGTAAGACACTATAATTCGCAGTATGACAGGTGGAATAGAGAATTAGGGGTTGATTATGTAAATTCTCCAGTTTATGGAAAAAAGATATCAACAACACCAATATTGGATATTCAAAGTACATTATATTTAACAAGACAGCTTTGTTCCTATGTTTTAAATTTATCAAAAGCATTAACAGATGATAGTTTGGAAATACCTGATGGAATTCATTTAATATGTTTAATCAATATATTATCGCGTCATCCATCAAATTCTTCATTACTTTTACAAGAGAATGCTTTGGCCCATCCATTTCAAGCTGCACGTTTAGCATCATACAAACTATCATCATTTAAATCAACATCAAATAGCCCTTCGTTTTTAAAATGGTGGCCCTACTTGAAACTATTGTTAGCAAACTGTTGTCAAATTGCTACAAACTTTGTACAGGATAAACAAAATTTATCATTTAATTCTTTAAGATTTGGTAATCATAATAATAATACTAGTATTAATAATAGTAGTAATAGTGTAAATAATAGTCATCAACAAAATAGTAATAATAATAATAATAATAATATTAATAGTAGTAGTTATAGTGAATCAGAGTTTTCACCATCAACTTCACCATCACCACCAATACCGAGCTCTCCATCTAATCCATCACCATTACCATCACCATCACAATCTTCACCAACACTAGCTTCCCAACAATTTTATAATACAATTTCATCAAATAGCAATGGTGTTAGCAGTAGTTTTTTAATGTTTAATAATTATAATAATTTAAATAGTGGTAATTCAACCAACCAAGCCACAACAAATAATTTTTCACAACACATATTTAAATTGGGTATTATTTCAATTTTACTAGATTCATTACAATTTTTCAATGAATATTATAAAAATAGTCAACCAAAGGATTCAGCAGACTCATTTAGAGTATTAATAATAGATACTTTGGGCATATTAGTTAGTAATAATGGTGGTTCGATTTCAAATTCTGGTGGTTCATTAAATTCTTCAACTAGTGGTACTTCAGCTACAACTGCCTCGACAACTACAATTACACCTAATAGTTTTAACACTTTAAATAATCAACAATCATTAAATAACAGCAGTAGCAATAGTAATAGTAAATCCTTAAAAGATTTAGGAAATGAAATTAAAATAATTATAAATTGTATTGGTTTTAAACCATATATTAGAACAAGTAAAAAGCAAACATCCCTCCAACTAGAGTTTAATTTTCAACTTCATGTTTTACGTGTTATAAAGGAAATAATACTTGGTAATTTAAATAATGCTAGAGTATTTACACAGAATAAGGGATTTGAAAAGATTCAAGAGTTAATTCTTTGGACAACTCAGTGTTTCCAACCTTCCGATAACTATAGTATTACCGATGAAAGTTGTAGCGATTTTGATATTAGTATCCCAATTCAAGAGAATAATGCTTTAACTTTGGGTGTATCTGGTAATTCCAATATTTACGATACTCTAAACTCGGTTTTAAATAGTCTAAAATATACAACATTCTCTGAAAAATCCTCCTCATTAAAATTAACACCAAATTTAGTTAAAAGAAGTAAAGTTTACCAATTATCCCAACTATTTTGTGTTTTGCAATCAATTACTTTTACAAATGTTCCATTTTCGAAAATTCAAAATTCTTCTTCTTCTTCTTCAAGTGGAAGTTTATTTTTTAATTTAAATAATAATAATAGTACCAGTAGTAATAGTAGTAATAGTAATAGTAATATTTTATCAACATCATTTTTTAAACGCAGTGATAGTTCAAATTTAATTGAACAACAGCAACAACCACCACCAGTACAAAATACCAATAATGTCAATACTACCAATAATATGGACGATAGTACAAATAGTGATATATTAAGTAATAGTGATTCAATAAATAATAACCAAGAGATAGTTATAGAAAATACAAATACAAATTTAAACAATATCAATAGTTTAGAAACTTTAGAAAATAGATTAATGAATTTATCAATTAATCAAGACAATAATAATCAAGATAATGAAATTTTAAATAATAATAGTCAGAATAATAACATTCAAACAAGTTCAACTCCACATAATAGTTGGTCAAATTATTCATCTTTGATTGAACAAACTCAAAGTATAAATTCTCCAGCAAACTCCTTATTAACAAACAATAATACCAACGTTTTATTTGAAACCCAGCTTATAGAGAAAAAATTTGTAAATAATCTTTTAATTGAAACTATTTTGGAAAAAGTATTTATACCATTTGTAACTCCAGTTATTGTACCATTGTCAACATCAACTACAAATTCAACCTCAACATCACCAACTAATTCAACTGTATCAATACCATTAAATATTGTTGATTCTCCTCAACAATCACCAAATAGTTCACATCAAGAGCTACCATTAATAGACACCACCTTATCATCAAGTAGAATATTTAATTTTATTAAAAATATATCTCCAGAACTTCAATTCCAAATAATTGAATATTTGGTTAAAATTGTTACCGAACAAAACAATAGTTTATCAATTTTATCAAGATATGGTTTATGGAATACTATTTTTTCAGATAATTTTTATTATTCTACTCCTCAAGTCGATATAAATGAAGAGACATCCATGAAAAAACGTAAATTATATTTATACAATGGCGTCAGATTGGCATGTCTCAGTTTATTACAGCACTTTGCAACATTAAATAACCATGATAATTTAGAAGAGGTTATGGTTATTCTTAGTGAAATGAAAAAGTCACTGGTTAAATCTCCAGCTACTGTAATTGAACTCTGTCAATTGTTAATTAATATTACAAAATCAAATCCTCAGAATACTATCCCATCACTAATTAGATTAAAGATTTTTCAACAATTACCCCAAATGATTCAAGTTTTATTTTCCGCAGAGACTGAACAATACCAAAGTCAAGTTCCATCCCCATTATACAAGAAAGCTAGAAATATTCTTTTCACTTATTTAAGTCAACTAATCATTCATGAAGATTTATCTTATCAAGCCGTAGTCGAAAAAGATTTAATTTGTATTTTATTCTTTTTATTACGTAAACCTGAAATTAAAACTTATTCAATTACTCAAATATATTTCTTAATGAAATTAAATCCAGATAATGACCAGATCTTATCAGAATTATATAGCACATATATTTCAGAATTGTCAATGTATGTACTTTTATTTATATTATAAAGTTATTTTAATCAATCTATTTACTAATATTTTTTTTTAATTTATTTTTAGGATCAGAGATGAAATATCATGCACATACGAATTTAAATATAATTTAATTTTAACAATGTTGGAAGGTATTAGACAAATTGTCAAGAGTAATCCAAAGAAACAAAATTTATTTAAAAAGTTTGGTGTATTCGTTAAAATTGTAACATTAGTAAACTATGATGACAAAAAGGAAAGATTATCTATTCTTTGCCACTCTGTATTAAGAACAGTCATCATTTTAATGGTAAATAACCCTAAAATCAAAAAACACTTTAGAAATCATATAGGTTATGATACAATTAAAGATTTAATTATTAAATCAGAAGGAGAAATTTCAGAAACAACAATGACTATATTATTTGATATGGTATGTATTAAATTATTTTAAAAAGGCTATTAATAGCATTTAAACTGGTTACTAATTTTTTTTTTAAAATTAAAATTTTAATAGATTGTGGATGATGAATATGATATAGAATATAAATATATAATCCAAAACTCAGATTCTTGTTTGTTATTATTCAATTTATTAAAGTATTTCCCATACAATTTACAAATAAAGGTTTTAGAGGAATTTATTAAGATGGTTCAAAAGTGCACTACAAATCAGTCAGTTTGCTGTAATAACCATTTAATTTATAATTTATTAGAAGCAATTTATAAAGGTCAACCAATGTCAATTACTACTAAAATTTTAGAATTAATTCAAAATCTTGGTACCCATTCAGTCACTGTTAGAGAATTGAAAAAGTTATTTGGTTTATTGAAAAGTGACCAAGGTGAATTCCGTCCACCAATTACATCAGAATTATTAACTACTCTACAAAATATTTCAAATTCACGTAACCCAGGTCCTCAAGTATATTTTGATTTCGATGGAAAAGATTCATGTATTATTTTACCCACTTTCGATCGTTGGCCATTCCCAAAAGGGTTCTCATTCTGTACATGGGTTCGTATCGAGTCTTTTATAGATCCCACAGGAACTCCAGAGTATAGACCAAGATTATTATCATTCCTTTCCGATAATGGTTCCGGTATTGAAGTTCTTTTCATTTATCAACAACTACAAGTACTCACTGTTTCTCATGGTCAATCTAAAGTTGTTTTCTCACAATCCCCATCACTAGAAGAAAAAACTTGGTATTTCATTTCGATTGTTTATAGCACAAATTTAATTTCATCAAATGAGGTTAAAATTTATATTAATGGTCAACAAATGGCTAAAGCATCAATCAAATTAAACATCTCTGGTACAATCATGAATCATTTCAAGATTGGTAATAATTCAAAGATATCAGGTGATCGTGAAAACCCATTGTATGGCCAGATGGGAGCATTCAATATTTTTGATGAATCCCTCTCGCCAAACCAAATCCAAGCTATATATACATTGGGCCCAAATTTCAATACTTCATTCCAAGATGTAGAAGGTAGTACAAAGAGTGCTCATACATTTGAAAGTTCTCTTACCAGTCATTTGTTTTTAAATTATAATTGCAGAGCTTTAGATGGAGATTTATGTTTAGATAATACTCCTGATATTGGCGGTGATAGAAATTATGATGCAACATTGGTTTCAATTAATCCATGTGTTTCAAGAGATCTTAAAGATATTATTTATTGTTTGGGAGGTATCAAGGTATTGTTCCCATTAATTCAACAAATTAACCAAAAACAGCAACCAACATCTTCAGAGGATCAAAGCACTGACTCCAACTCAACAATGATTAATTTTAAATTAACAAATCAAGTATTGGCACTATTTAAACATATGTTAAAAGAGAGTGAAGCCAATCAAGAGGAAATGTTACGTTGTCAAGGTTTTTCGGTTATGGGTTACCTTTTACAGCAGATTTCCCCAGAGTATTTAACTATTGGTTGTATTAATATCTTTAGGGATATGTCTAATCAAATTAGTGAACCTGCATTGGTCGAAGAAATCTATTCAAATCTCTTATTAAACTTTTCTCTTTGGGTTAAAACAAAGTTTGAATTACAAAGAAATCTTATTGTTGTTTTAAAACAAATCATATTTGGCGAAAAATATGAACAGGTTTCAGACATTATTACCGTTCAACTTATCCTAGATATAATGACAGATTTTTATTGGTATGATGAAAATAGTAAAGAAGCTTCTGCTAAGAATCACCATTTCTATAGTAAAGAAATTTTAGCTAAAAGACCTTCACATTCAGATATTAAAGATTTACGTCAAATCCTCTTTGAGGTTTTAAGACTACTATTAAAACATCAAAGATCATCCGATATTCAATCTGTCATCAAGTTTTTGGTTTACTGCAAAGATCCTCAACAATTAATTGAAATGATGGAATTTTTATTGGATATTTTATCATCAAGCTCTTCTGCATTAAATAACTTAACATCATCATTAGGTAGTAGTAATAGTGGTAGTGGCAACAATAGTGGTAATAGTAACAACATTTCTCAATTTGTTTTCGATGAAATAATGTCGTCTGGTGGTACAGATCTCTTTTTAACTTTATTAAAGATTGATGATGAAAAAGTAAGAATGGCCGCCTTACAATTAATTAGCAAAATTCATCTCCTCTGTTCATTGGCCTCAAACAAAAAGTACAAATGTAACATTTTCCAAGATTCAATTATCATTACTAGATGCCTCCACACTTTCCCAATTACTGAAATTACTTTTAGATATTTATTAGCATTCGCATTGGGTTTCAATTTCACACCTCAAACATTTAATACAGCACCATGTTTAGATGACATATTGGCAATGGAAAATAAAAATAATACTGAACTAAAACACAGCGAAATTAAACACAGCGAAATTTTAGCAGTTATTCTTAAATTACTCTCAAATACAGAATCAATTCTTCTACGTCAAACTATTCTTCAAGAGATTAAAGTATTAATTAATACTAATGTCGCAAATAGAGCAAGTTGCTTATCAATCGATAAATGGGCAGATTATCTTTTTAGTATTATCAGTGATGTCGAGGTTAAAACCGATACTCAATACTCTAATGTTTCAGATTTAATTATAGATATTATGAAAATTTTATCACTTCATAGTTTCTTTGATTCTAAGACTGGTTATAAAACATTAGAGTTAATTCTAGCAACCCTTAGACCATTCGGAGAAAGAGGTGTATTAGATTATCATCAATTAACTCGTATATTATTATTGAATATTATTATTTCAATCAAATCATTAGCTCACACATTAATCGGTGATAATAACAGTCCATTAATCAAGAAATCAAAGAAAAATTTAGTGGTATTCGAAAATTTAATTCACTTTTTTATAATTTGCGAAGATTTCATATTTTATTCACCAAAAGAAGAAACAAAACAAGAAATATCATCAAATGTCATTAATTTAAATAATAGTGAAGGTATGAATAGTTCCTTAGAAAGTAATTTTGTTCAAATTAATAGTTCAACAACTACACCAGCCACTACACCAGCAACATCATCACCAATATTAACCAACATCAGTCAATCATTAGGAAGTTCATTATCTTCATCATTTAATTTAAATGGTAATATTCATCAAGGTTTCAGTAAATTACATTATGATTCACAGGATAAGGAATGGGAAGATTCATTGCTTGTTAAAGAAATCTTAGAAGTTATTGATACATTAAAACTTTATAAGGTGTTTGAAGTTTCAAACGAAAGTGTTTTCTCAACTTCAAATATTCAACCAACTGGCAAAACTAGCTCCAACTTAATGTTTTCAACTCATCATCATAGAATATTTTTACGTTTCACTTTAGAAGCTATCAAAGATTGCAATAGAGCAGATTCATTAAATACTTTAATCAGTCATGTAATGCGTTTGAAAATGTTATGTGAAAAGGACCTTCATACCAAATCAGATGATAGTGCTGCCAATAATCGTTGTATTTTTGTTTTATCTCATTTAAACAAAGCTTTGAAGAATATTATCGATTTAAATTTACCATCTCATCAAAAAACATTAGTTCCATTTATGAAAGATGTTATTAGAAAACTAAAGGTTTTAATCATTGAAAATCTTTCATTAAAAATTATTAGTCAACAACAATTATTGCAACAATTAGAGCAATCAAATAATTTCAGTAGTAGCAATGGCAGTAATGGTCACTTTAGTTTATCAACATCCTCAAAAAGTGTTATAATTCCATCATCTGTTAGTAATGGTGGTAGTGGTACCTACTCAACATTATCAATTTCAGTTCCTCAAAATTCATTATCCCAACAACCACAACAACCATTAACACCAACATCAATTCAAGATGAAACAGAAATTTCAAGCTGGGTTGCAGATTTAACAGATTCAAGCAGAATTGTTGAATTTTGTTCGGTTGTTGTAACATCACCAAGATGGTCACAATTGGTTCAGTATATCGAAAGTCAAACTCAATTTTTCATTGAAGAAAAACTCTTGTATCATTCAGTTGAAAAGAGAAAAAAGAAAACCAATAAGTTGGTATTAAATCTTGACGAAAAAGAGGCTGAACTTTTGAATATCGCTGAAAGAAAAGCAGATTTAGATTTAAATGCAATCCAATCAAAGTTATGGGCTCCAGAATGCGAAAGAAGATCTTTACATTTAACCAAATCTAAAGAATCGCGTAATGAAACTACCGTTCAACTCAGAAAAATATTAAGATCTTTGACTAATGAAAGAGGTCCATGGGGTACAACAGAATCAATAGTACATTGGAAATTAGATAAAACCGAGAACTCTTCAAGAATGAGATTAAAATTAAAGAGAAATTATAAATTTGACGAACATGCCAATTGCTCAATCAATGACAGCGAAGGTCAAATAACCATCAATTCAAGCAACAATACTAAAAACAATTCAAATGATGAACAAATATCAGAAAGTAATAACAATTTAAATTTATTATTAAAACCAAAAACAAATGGCTCGGAAGAAGTTGAATCAGATTGGACATTATTACCAAAAGATGCTGAACAAGATGAAGTTAATATTGATACATTTATTCTTCAACAACAATTCCAACAACAACAGCAACAAAAAGAAAAGGAAAAGCTTATCTATACTACAAATTGTCAATGGATTACACCATCCAGTTGCAAAAAGGGAAAATTAGATATTACAACAATGAATTTAATTTTCACAGAGGAGGAAGAAGCTCCACCAACCAACTTTATTGGTCCATCCGAGATACCAAAATTCAAAAGATGGCCAAATGAAATGATTAAAGAAGTTCATTTACGTCGTTATTTACTCCGTGGAAGTGCTATCGAAATATTTATGCGTGATAAAACCAATTATTTCTTCAACTTTAAAAAGAATGAAAGAAATAAAATTTTCAGCAAATTAAATAGCGTCAGAAGAGAATTTTCTAAAGAACCAAATCTATCACCTTCCGACATGTTAAAGAAAGCTACTTCCGAATGGCAGTCTAGAAGAATTTGTAATTTTGATTATTTAATCACTCTCAATACCATCGCTGGTAGAACTTATAACGATTTAACTCAATATCCAGTATTCCCTTGGGTTATTGCAGATTATACATCAAGCGAATTAGATTTATCAAAACCAGAAACATTCAGAGATCTATCAAAACCAGTAGGTGCACTCAATGAAAAGAGATTAGAAATTTTTAAAGAGCGTTACGAATATTTCGACGATCCAGTAATTCCAAAATTCTTTTATGGTAGTCATTATAGCAGTGCTGGTATCGTTTTGTTCTATTTAATTCGTTTAGAACCATTTACAACTCAATTTTTAACTCTTCAAGGTGGAAGATTTGATCACGCAGATCGTATGTTTGATAGTATACAGTTAGCATGGGACAATTCATTATCCTCTTCAACTGATGTTAAAGAATTAATTCCAGAGTTTTTCTATATGCCAGAGTTTTTAACAAATCACAATGGTTTTGACTTTGGTGTAAAACAAAATGGTGTTGCAATTGGAGATGTTCAATTACCACCATGGGCCGCTACTCCATTAGACTTTGTTAGACTCAATAGAGAAGCTTTAGAAAGTGATTATGTTTCAAATCATCTTCACGAGTGGATCGATTTAATTTTTGGTATCAAACAACGTGGTAAATTAGCAGCAGAGGTATTTAATGTATTCTATTATCTCACTTATGAAGGCTCTGTAGATATTGATGCAATCGAAGACGAAACCACTAGAAAAGCTACAGAATCACAAATTAATAACTTTGGTCAAACCCCAACTCAACTTTTCCCAAAGAAATATCATGTACAAAGAGATCCACTTAATGAATCACACATTAGTATCCTCAAAACTCCTCCAAATCAATTACAAGCATACTTTTTAAAGATCACAAATAAAAATCCAATTGTTTATGTATTCATTCCAGATCCAAATCCAATTATGTCATACTTGGTAACAGATAAAGTTACAGTAATCGATAAATCAAGAACCACCACCAACCATAAATGGTTCCCAAATACTCCAAATGATAAAATTTCACCATTTACCTTCGAATTAGATCCATCATCAACAACTAAACGTAGAATTGGTTTACCCTTTGCTAATGATGTTACCATTTCACCAAATTGTTTTGCAATTACATCAGATGGTCGTTATGTTATAAGTTGTTGTCACTGGGATAACTCATTCAAATTATCTTTTGTAGATAGTGCCAAATTAATTCAATCTGTAGTTAAACATAAAGATACTGTTACTTGTCTCTCATTGGCTTCCGATGGTCAAACTCTTATTACTGGTTCTAAAGATACAACAGTGATGGTTTGGAAAATTTCAACAAACAAAGGTGTCCCCAAATTTGATGACGTCCCAGACCATATTCTTTATGGTCACGATGATGAAATTACTTGTGTTGATGTTAATGTTGGTCTTGATATTTCAATTTCAGGATCCAAAGATGGAACATGTATTATTCATAATTTAAAACATGGTGAATATGTACGTTCTATTTATTTACCAAAACAAACTCCAATTAGTTTAATCGCCATTTCAAATCAAGGTTATATTATAATTTATTCACAAGTAAGTTGAAATTTTTTTTTTTAATTTTTTTTTTTTTTTTTTTTTTTTTTTTTTTAAAAAAATTGTTATAACACTAAGTAAGATATATTTGAAATTAATTAATATCAATAATTAATATCAATAATTATATTTTAATAATAATCATTAAAACATCAATAATCAATCAAATTTCACAAATAATCAATTTATTATATTAAATCAAAATTAGAATTTTCATAAATAATTCATAATATAATCAATATTGATATTGATAATTATAATTAAGAAATTCGAAATTTAAAAGATTCACAAATTAACACACAAACACACACTTTTCTTAACACAAATTAAATTTTTTTTTTTTTTTGGGTTCCACATCACAATAATAATTTTGTTATATTCATAATATCAAAGAATCTTTTCCCAACTTATCATTTTATTTAAAAATTCTATTCTATTTATATTATTTTCACAAAAAATTTTATTTTATTTTATAATAATAATAATATGCAAACACAAAAAAAAAATATTATACTAATTATTCGTTTATCGTTTTTAATTCTTTATTTTTTAGGCTGATTTAACAATGTATTTATATAGCATTAATGGACAATTGTTAAAAACAGTTTATACTCACGAAAGATTACATAGTATTATCATAAGTAAAGACTCTGAATATCTCTTGACCGGTGGAGAGAAAGGAGTTGTTGTTATTAGAACTTTATATAATCTCAAGCAAACTCCACACAAATTAGTGTTTGGTACACCAATTCATTCTTTAGCTATGGCTTCAGATCAAAAACACTTAATGGTCGGTTTAGAGGACGGCAGGTTACTTATCATTGCTTCCAATAATAATAATATTAATAATAATTTAGTTACAAAATAAGAATTATCCTCTGTTTTATAGATTTGTTTATTTTAAAAAACAACTTGGTTATAATAATAGAGTATAAAAACAATAATAAAAATAATAAACAAAGTTTATTTCTAAATATATATATACCTTATTTATTTTTTTATATTTTTTTTATAATATAATTCTATTATTCATTTTTAATATTATAATTTTTTTCCTTTTTTTAAAAAAACAATTCAAAAAAAAAATTTAACACATCAATAATGTGTTGCACAAATAAAAACAAATAACATATATCTTTGTTTTTATAAATGTGCACCATTCAAAATATATTTTTATTAAACGTTCTTATTTTAATTAATTTAATATTGTTTAGTGATGAAATATATTTTAACAATATCAAATTTGAATTTATGATCATTAAATATTGAAAAAAAACTTGGTATTGTTTTTCTATTAATACCTTTGCTAGTACCTTGTTATTGTTTTTATAAAAAAAAAAAAAACCCACATCAGAAAATGTGTGTCTATTTGATAAATTATTATTATAATTTTTTTTTTTTGTTTTTGAGAATGTGGTGGATAAGTGTGGGAGGTGACAACAAGATTTATAAAATATATTATTTTCAAATACATCAATATTAAATTAAAAAAATAAAGACATCCAAAGGAGTAATTATACATTTAATTATTAATTTTTTTTTTTTTCTTTTTGGTTTTCACTCTTCTTTTTTTTTGAATACAAGGAAATAGTGCCTTGTGATAACCATAGTATTATAATAAAAAAAACTAATAATAATTTATATAAAAATAAAAATTTGAATTTTTTAAAAACACACAACAACCCCACAACCCTTTTCTTTTTTTTTTTATTTTTTTTTTTTATTTTTTGTACAATAGTGTTAAAATTATTTATTATTTTATTAAAATTGTAAAAAAAAAAAAATAGTATAAATAATATTATTTTTTTTTTACTTTTAAACAAATAAAATCATTACTAATAATAACAAATATAAAAAATTAATAAATATATCCAATACTAAAATAAATTAAAAAATATAATATAAATATAAAATGTTAAATAATAAAAACTGTCCAATAATTTTATTAGGTGATAGTGGTGTAGGAAAATCATCAATAACATTAAAGTTTATTCGTGATACATTCGAAGATGTTTACAACCCTACTTTCGAAAATTCATACATCGCAGAGCTTGATATAAATTATGGTGAAAAGATTAGATTAGAAATTTTAGATACTGCTGGTCAAGAAGATTTTATTAATCTTCGTGATCATTATGCACGTATTGGGGAAGCTTTTATACTAGTATATAGTATTACATGTAGAGGATCATTTAATGAAATGGTATGTATATTTTTAATAAAAATTTTTATTATTAAAATATTAATTCCTTTTTAAACAATAGAAACATATTAAAGAAAATATTACAAATATTAAACAATGTACTGATGTGCCAATGATTTTAGTTGGTAACAAGGTAGATTTATCAAATACCGAAAGAAAAGTATCAATAGAAGAAGGTAAATCATTAGCAAGATCTTTTGGATGTGCATTCATTGAAACATCAGCAAAGGAAAATATAAATATTGAAGAAACTTTCAAAACTTTGGTTAATGATTGGAAAAAAAGTAAAGAAAGAAAAGTAAATAAAAATGGAACTTTAAGGAAAACATCCGGATATGCAATTAAGAACTTAACATTAGGAAGAAAGAAAAATATTATTGTTGGAGATAATGAATTTTATGAAAATTTTGAAAAAATGAATAACTCTACATTTCATTCATCAAATAGATCCAACAGCTCAAATTCTGTTTTAAATTATAACAATAACAATAGCAATAATATCAACAATAAGGAAAATTTAAAACATTATAATAGTTCAAACAATATAAATAACCAAAATTATAAAAAACATAGTGATTCAAAGGTTGGTAAATCAAAATGTTTTTTACAATAGTTCAAAATATAAATCATTTTATTATTTATATATATTATATAATTAAATAAAATCTCTGTAAATACAAATCTAAAAACTATTTATTATAAAAAATGTAATTTTAAAAAAAATTTAATAAAAATTAGGGATATTTTATTCATTAGTTTTAAATAATAATTTTATTTTAAATGTTTTTTTAATTTATTTACTTTTTTAAATGCATTAATTTGAATTTAACCTTAGTTCTGATATTAAATTGATTATTGGAAAGTTTTACATAGTCAAAAACACATTAAGTTTCACAAGAACCACCTTTATGTTCTACCAAAAATTTGAAAATGGTTTAAATACATAATTAAAAATCATAAAATTTATAAATATGTTTTAAAATTGGAGATAATTTTTAAAAATAGATCAACTAAAAGAATAGTGAAGCTCCAATAACAAACTTGTAAAAGTCAGAATGCTTTATCTTTTCAAACATTAAAATATAGCCCCAAAGTAATTAATATCATATAAAGGTTTTAGTTTCTTTTTTGAGATAGTTTTAATTGGCAATTATTTGGTATAGAAAATGACTGATTATTCTATTTAATAGTTAATTAGTTAACATGTTACAAAAAGTGTAACATAATATAAAATTTAGGGTGTATAAAAGATATATGTATTAAACAGGGAATAATAAGCAGAGGGTAAAATCTTTAAGCGATTTTAGGGAAATTTAATAATTAATTGGGAGACTTGAATTTTTTGTGCCAACTTTCAAGCGCAAGTACAGTACCTATAATTGCGAGTCTAGGTATTTTTACTTTTAGGAATTTCTTTTCGGCCGGGTAGAATTACTTGGCTAAAATCATGACCAAATGTGAGTGTTATGAGACTATTTGGTAATGAGTTGGGTAGAACTACTTGGTTATAACTATCACCGAATGTGAGGGTAGTGGTTTTTGTTATATTGTATTGTACTTACCTTTCACTAATATTACTGTTTTTAACTTTTCATTTACTCGAAAGTTAATTAGAGATAAGAGAATATAAAAAATTAATAAAAAAAAATTTAAAATAAAAATTTTACCAAATTTTAAAAAAAAATTTCCCTAAAAAATTTAAAAAAGATATTTTAACCATTGGCACAATAAAATTCTTCAAAATTTTTTTATTTTTCAAACAGTTCTATTTCAAAAAAAATTTATCCTATAAAATTTATAAAAAAAAGTTTAAACAATAAACATTTGTATAAATAAAATAAAAAACTCTAAATTTGAAAGATTTCAATAAAAAATATATTTATATACCAAAACTTTCAATTTATAAATTCTTATAAAGACTTTCATTGTTATATATATAATGAGAAATGTTCTTTATGATCATTTGGCAAATTTTAAAAATGAAATAATAACATAAACATGTGGGAACCTATTTTTATTAAATGTAGTATATGACCCCCATAAGGTTTGAACATATAAAGTAGGAGTTCAAATTAATAGTATAAATTAAGAAATTTCCCTTTTGCTAAGTTGGTCACCTCACGCCTTATTTGTGCATAGTGCACTTTATTACACAATATCAACAAATTGCCCAGATAGCTCAGTCGGTAGAGCGCAAGGCTTTTAACCTTGTGGTCGGGGGTTCGAGCCCCCCTTTGGGCGAAATCTTTTATTTTTTGGGTTTTTTTTTTTTTTTTTTTTTGCTTGTAATGTAATCACTGCTTATTATATATCATTTTAGTTAATAATTCCATTTTTTTCATAAGTGGATAGTTTGTTTTCTCGATCAATACAACAACATCAATCTAAGATTATACTACCCAAACCACCAAATATCAGATGAGCATATAACTCATTTCAGCAAGTACACAGATATAGAAAAGATCTCATTCGACAAAAAGAAAAAGAAAACTCTCTTTATCTCTCTCTCAAAAGAGAACCTATATAACCTCCTTAATGAAAGAGATACCACCAACAAGATGAACAAGTTCATCACACACTGCGACGATTACCATATGGTAATTGGAAATATCAACTCATCCAATCAAGACATTGAAAAAGTGTTAAAAGAACAACTTAACCTAAAATTGACTTCTTCCTTTCTCACATCAAAGTCAACAAAAACAATACCTCCTTTTTCCACCTCATCGAAAGCAAAAACAACCCAATCAAATCAAAGCTACTCCAATCACCATACTATCGTATTAAGATTAAGTCTGCAACAAAATCAAAAAATCATCCTAACAACAAAATCAATCAATTAATCAATGAAGATATGTCCAGGGTCTCCACTGATAAAGAAGTTGATAACAACATTACCAAAATGAATCAATTAATCAATGAACATTTTTCGGGGTCCGCCACTGATAAAGAAATTGATACCATCACTACCATAATGAATCAAATGATCAATGAAGACTCGTCGGGGATCTACACTGATAAAGAATTTGAGAACCTCATTACCATACTCAAAAATGATTGTGCCGACTCTAATGATCAAGATGATGATCACAAAGAAACTATTTCTGATAACGAATCTAACAATCCAACTAACACAATAGATAATGATGAAATATCTAATGATGAAACAAACAAACAATTAAAAAACCAATCACCTCAAGATGACAATAAATCATCAACCAACAAACCCTTAAGAACATCCAGGGTTAACGCACTAAACAACATCTTAACAAGATTAACTTCACAAAATTCCAAAAATGAAACCGCCATAACAAATACGAATACCACTACAAAAAGTAACCGTACTCGAAATGTTAGCCAAATATCCACACCAATCAAATCCACTACGTACCAATCAGGTAGTCCGAAATCACCTGCTATCGAACAAAAATCTAAGAAAAAAAAAACTTCTTAAACTAGATAGGTTGATTCAACCATACCCCAACCCTCACTACTTCTTAAACTAGATAGGTTATTCCAACCTTACCTCAACCCCTACTTCTTCTTATATTTTAATATAAATAAACACTGTCGCTTACACATTATTCATAACTTAAATAATTATCGTTTTATTACTTTAATAAATATTATTTACTTTAAATAACTAATAGATTTGTACCTACATTACATGCTTTCCTGCTCCGCGACAATTAAACGGTGCACCGCCCGAGCCTCAGTTTTGCAGTGGCATACTCAGTTTTTTTGCAGAACAAAATCTTTTTAAAAAAAAAAAAAAATTTTGTAGAACAATCCAACCAAACTACTTTCAAATAGTGGTTTTAATAAATACTATTTTTAATTAGTTACAACAAAATAAATAAACAAATAAATTCGACTAATTCTCCATTAAACAATTGATTACAAAATTTAAAATTTTCTTCCCTGTAATCTTTTAATTTCCCTCCAATAGCATTGAAAGCATAGTGGTAGAACGTTTCCTAGAAGTTACCGCGATTCGAATCCAAAAAGTCTCGCAGGTTTTCCGAATCACACACGAATTGACGTTACCCTGCCCAACTTATAAGAGTTTTACCACTGCTTACAAGTATAAAACATACCAAAACAAAAACAAACACAATAAAAATACTGATAACTTAATGTATCATTAAGAATCATCTTCACTTCTAAAAAAAAAGGATTGCTCTGGTATATCTTTCATATGTCCAAGCTTTTTGTACTTCTACACTTGTTTCTATATCTCATTAACCCAATCCTCCTGTGTTGTAATCTTGAACGCTCTCTAATTATTGTCATTTTGAAATTTGTATTGATCTTTATTCATTACATTATTGTTTATGTTTTATTTTTATTTTTATTTTTATTTTTTAAAGTTTCTTTTATATTTGAATATGATCCTTTTCAATATCTTTATAATTTGAATTTATTTAATTTATTTATTAAATTATTATAATTGATTAAATTAAATGACTATTATATTACATTTTTTGGAATCTAAAATAATCTATTTAAGAAATTTGCTCTTGATAGCCTACACTTATTTTAATTTAATTTTGTTTTTATAATCCAACAACATAAAAAAATAAAAAAAATAAACAATTTTAATAACCATTATCGATATTTTATTAAAGTGAACTTTTTTGAAAGAATTTCATTGAAATGACTAAAATATATTATAATTAACTATTTTAGTGCATTAAAAATTTAATTATTGTATTTTATCTTTCTATAACATTATTTATGTTTATAGCCAATGGTATAGGGTATATATTGATTAGAGAGGGGAATATATAACAATTAAAAAAAAAAAAAAAAAAAAAAAATTATAAAAAAAATTTTTAAAAAAAAAAAAAAATTAAATTTTATTTTAAATTTTTAATTTTTAAAAAATTTTTTTTTTTTTTTCATTAAAATCCATTTCATATTGCCAATTGTAGTATGAATAAAAATAAAAATAAAAAGAATAAAAACAAACATATTATTAATAATAACAATAATAATAATAATAATAACAATAATAATAATGATAATAATAGAAATAATTTAAATAATAAAAAAAATAATAGAACAGACGCATTAAAAAGTGATAATAACAATAAATTAAAGAAAAACGATTCTGATAAAGAACCAAAAACTACTTTAACATCTTTATCCACAAATTATATAACTAGTGATAATTTAGATAAACAAACACAATTACCAACAAAAGCGCAATCACATCCCCTACCACAACACTCAATAATGAATATAGAAAATAATCAAAGTGGCGATGGTGGTAAAAAACCCAATTCACCTCAATTAACCCCAATTACAAATGCATTAGTTATCCGAGATAGTAATATGGATGATAATATATTAGATATTAAAATAAGAGATGTTTTATCGAATTTAGGTTTAGAAAAATACTATAGCATCCTCGAAAATGAAAATATTTTATTGTGGGAAGATTTTAAAGAATTAAAAAATGAAGATTTAAAACTGATTGGTTTTAAAATGGGCGATATTGTAAAAATTAGAAGGCATATTAAAGATGGTAAATTTTTTTTATTTTTTTTACATTATAATTTTATATTTATTAAATTTATTTATATTTATTAACAATTTTTTTTTTAGACGAACCACCTAACGAAAAATTAATTGAAGATCTTTTAGAGTTATTATTTAAAAACAATGATCCATCATCAACGTCACACGAACTAGCAAGACAAATACGATTAAGTAAAGAGATAAGAGAAAAAGAACAAAATGAGAAATTAGAACAGCAATTTCAATTAGAAAGAATAAAGTTTAGAGAAGAAAAGGAGAAATTAGAAAAAGAAAAAATAGAAAAAGAGAAATTATTAAAAGAGAAATTAGAAATAGAAAAAATAGAAAAAGAGAAATTATTGAAAGAGAAATTAGAAATAGAGAGAATTTATAAAGAAAAATTGGGTCAGGAAGTATCTCAAAGAGAGGAATTTGAAAGAAAAAAAAAGGCTGAAGAATATCGTCTAGAAAAGGAAAGATTGGTGAGAGAAAGACTAGAGAAAGACCGTTTAGAAAAAGAAAGGTTGGAGATAGATCGTCTAGAAAAAGAAAGGTTGGAGAAAGTCCGCCAAGAAAAGGAAAGACGAGAGAAAGATCGTCTAGAAAAAGAAAGGTTGGAGAAAGACCGTCAAGAAAAAGAAAGGTTGGAGAAAGATCGTCTAGAAAAGGAAAGACTAGAGAAGGATCGTCTAGAAAAGGAAAGGTTAGAGAAAGATCGTCTAGAAAAGGAAAGGCTTGAGAAAGATCGTTTAGAAAAAGAAAAGTTAGAGAAAGACCGTCAAGAAAAGGAAAGGCTAGAGAAAGATCGTCAAGAAAAAGAAAGGATGAAGGAAGTTCGTCTGGAACAGGAAAGACTGGCCAACGAAAAGCTGGAGAAAGATCGTCTAGAAAAGGAAAGGATGGAGGAAGTTCGTTTAGAAAAAGAAAGACTGGAGGAAGAAAAAATTGAAAAAGATCATTTAGAAAGAGAGCACAAGAAAAATAAAGATATATCAACACAAAGTATTGAGGAAGAAGAAAAAAGACAAAAGCTTATTGAAGAGTCATCAAATTATGATTTTAGTAATGCATTTAATGGAGGAGCTCCAACATCTGAAGATGAAAAAATGGTGTCACCAAGAGGCAGAAGCAGGAGTAGAAGTACCAGTATAAATAATAATAAAACAGATCATACTGACCAAGAAAGTACTAGGGGAAGAAGTAGGAGTAGAAGCTCGTCATCTTCTGGTGACAGCGAAACTGAAGATGGTAATAGAAAATCAAACAAAACTGTAAATATGAAAAAAAATGAACAAGATGATGAAATGGAAATTTCGGATGATGAAGGTAAAACAAATAGAAAACCAAGGACCAGTGAACAAAAAGAAATTGAAAATCAAAAACGAAGAGAGCAGCATCAAAGAGAATTAGAAGAAGATAAATTGTATTATGAAAAGCACAAAAAGAATATAGAATCAATGAAAGGACCACTTGGATCATCACCCAGTTTTGAATCATCCATTGCAGTAGCAACTACAACAAAATTACCAAATGCAATGACTGATCTTGAAGAAATTGAGGATTTTTTAGTAAAGAAAAAGAACGAATGGCTAGAAAAGAATGTTGGTAAACTTAGCAAAACAATTGGTAAACTTTGGGAATTTTCAAGAAAGAATCCAGAAATTATAAAGAAACGTGAAAAGAGATATTTTGAAATTAGTGAACGTAAATGCAAATTTTTTAATGACTTTAAAGCAAACTTTTCACCCGAAACCTATAATCTAATATCAAAAACATTCGAAGATTTCTGGCAAGAAGAGTGGATTATTGATATTTTACATAATGATAAACCTCCTGTATTTGAAAAAGAACAAATAGAATTTCAACATCAACAAGTAAAGCAACCATCACAAAAATCCGATATAGTATTTATTGAAGATGAATCAGATGCCATCGAAGATTGGGGTGAAGATTTTCTTTCGTCAGGTAATAAAAAAGCAGTTAATGAAAATAAAACCGATACACCAGAAAAAATAGATTTAGAAGATCTATGGAGCACAAATAAGAAGCGTAAAGAACCATCATCGAATACAATTTCAGACACCAATAAACCTGAAGATGTTGAAAGATCAAAACCTAAAAAACTCAAAACCTCCAGTGATAGCGATAGTGATATGGAAATCATATCAAGCGGAAAATCATCACCAAGGCTTAAAATACCAGCAAGAACAAGTAGAAATAAGAAAGATAATCACAGCGATAGTGATTATGAAGATGATGAAGTGGTAATTACAAATGCCCACCATACAAAAGATTTAGAACAATTTTTAGATGAAAAAGAGAAACAAAAAAGAAATAAATCTTCATCATTTGATAAATCAAAACCAAAATTAAGAACATTAAAGAAATGGAAGCCATCCTTAAACAGCGAAGATGAATCAGAAAGTAGTTATTCGGGTGAAGGTGACAGCGGCAGTGAAAGTTATAGTGACGGTGACAGTGGTGGTAGTTACAGTGACAGTGAGAGTGACAGCGATAGTGAAAGTAATAGTTTTTCTGATTCATCACTTTCATCCTCTTCATCAAGATCATCTAGTGGAAGTGATTCATCATCGGAAGACTCTAATGATGATAGTAGTGATTATGAAAACAACAGCGACATACCAAAGAAATTAACTAATACCACCTCTCCAACTATCAAACCAAAAATACCAGAGAAAAAGAAAACAAAAGTCATTGAAATTCAAGATATTAATAATGTAAATCAAAGAACACTTAGAATAAGAAGGAAAGAACAAGAAGAAAACAAACAAATCGAAGAACTTAGACAAGCTAGTCTAAACTCTGACCAATTTAAAAAGAACAATCTATTAATTTTCCCTGGTAGTGAGGGTAAAAAGGATATTTTTATTGACCCTCAAATTGGGTGTTTCCTCAAAGAGCATCAAATTAAAGGTGTGCAATTTTTATGGGACAATTTGGTATTCAAAGGTAAAGGCTGTATTTTAGCACATTCAATGGGTTTAGGTAAAACTTTACAAGTCATCACTTTTCTTTATACCCACAATCAATACCATAAAGGCTCAAAATATCTTTTAATAGTACCTGCAAATACACTATGTAACTGGGAAAGAGAATTTAAGAAATGGTTGCCATCGAATAATGCAAAATCAAAAAATTCACTCAAAGTTTTTGCGCCTCATAATCATAATATGAGAGATCGTTGTAATGTAATTAGAAATTGGTATAAAAACGGCGGTGTATTATCATTGACATTCGAATCGTTTTCAAGTATGGTCAGCAAGTACCGAGAAGAATATCAAGATATTGGACTAGTGCTCAAAACTGATTTCATGATCGTTGATGAAGGCCATCGATTAAAATCGACGAAAACCAAACTATTTGACTGCGCCAATCTTGTAGAAACACCAAAAAAAGCTTTACTTACTGGCTATCCATTGCAAAATAATTTATTTGAATACTATGTAATGATTGACTATATAAGAAATTTACATTTAGGTAACGAAAGAGAATTTAAAGAACGTTTTGTTAAACCGATTTCCGCAGGTTCAAAGAGTGATGCCACCGAATATGAAATTAAACAAATGAACTATAGAATGGCTGCACTTCATGATCTAATTAAAGATTTTGTTCAAAGACTTGGCCCAGAAGTTTTAGATAAGGAAGTTAATGTTAGCAAAAAGGAAAAGATGATACTGGTTAAACGTACCGAAATTCAAACCCGTCTATTGGAGATCTCTATCAACTCTAGTACATCAGTTGACCATTTTGCACAATTCGAAGTTTTAACTGTAGTATGTGCTCACCCAGATGGCCTTTTAGAAAAGAAACCACTGTCCAATAAAGATTTAGAGAAAAAACCAATTAACGAATTAAAACAAATCCTCAAAGTAAACGATGTTCCAACAACAGATATTATTTTAAAGAGTGAATTAGTTCAACGTGTAATCAGTCTTAATGAAATTAAATCAGCAAATATACACCAACCAAATGTATTTACTTCATATTTCAATTCGATTGGTTATAGAAGAGGTATATTAGAGCGTAGTAACAAATTTTTATTATTTTTTTCAATGTTAAAAAACTTTACTGAAAATGGTGAAAAAGTTGTAGCATTTAGTTTTTCAATCTCAACACTCAATCAGTTGGAATATTTCTTGCAAAAGAATTTAAATTGGAAACCAAACATCGATTATTTTAGATTAGATGGCCAAACTCCTTCAAAGGTTAGGCAAAGGATGATTAATCGTTTCAATGAAGAAGACAATCATTTAAAATTATTTATTATATCAACAAAAGCAGGTAGTTTAGGTACCAACTTAACTGGTGGTACCAGAGTTATTATTTTAGATCTCAGCTGGAACCCTGTACACGATCGTCAAGCAGTTTATAGATGCTATAGAATTGGTCAAAAGAAAACCGTATATGTTTATACTCTTGTAATGGCTGGTACTGGTGAAGAAAGAATTTACAATAGAATGATCCACAAACAAGCTTTGGCAAAGAGAGCGGTAGATGCTGAAAATCCTAAAATTGAAGAAGAAGTTAAACGTGGTAATAGAGTATTGATAGATGTTCCTCAAGATCTAGAATCAATCAATAGAGAAATTAAAGATAACAATGATCCCATTTTTAACAAAACTATCGAAGAAAATATAGATACAATTATTGCAATTAAAGATGTTAATACTTATTTTGCTATGGATCATGGTAAATTAACCGAAGAAGAGGAAAAAGAAGCTATAAACAATTATAAACAAGAGATTTCATCAAGTAATTTTATCAATTATAATTTACCAAGATCCAATACAAATAATAATTTAAATAATAGTTTAAATAACAATAATAATACAAATATAAACAAATTTATTTAAATAAACATATCACCCAAAAACTTAATAAATAAGTTTATTTTAATTTTCTTTTTCAAACAAAAGGGCACAAGTGTGTGTTAAGTTTTTAAATTTTAGCCACGTTTAAAAAAAAAAACATTTTTTTTTTTGAAAAAGATTGAACCATTTTTTGTAAATGTTTTTTTATTTTAAAAAATTTGTGGTTGTAAACTTATGATTTATTACAATTTTTTTTTTTATTTAAAACTTAATCGGTTTTACTTTTTATAAAAACCTTCAATAAATTTTTTTCAAAATATTTTTAATTTCCTGTAAATATAAGTCTTATCTTTTTCTAATTCCGATCCACCTAAATCTCTAAAATAAAAAATGTTATTTGGTAGGTATAATTTTTAAAGTTTTTAAAAATAAAATTTAGATTAATAACTAATTATTTACTTTAATAGAATCAATTTTAAAATTATTTAAAAACCAAAACCAAAATTCTCAAACATCCAAAAGCTATAACAATCTTAATTATCATAGAACCAATTATGCCTCAAATTTAAAATCTTGTGATAATTCAATAGCTACTCCCGATAGATTCTATCCATTTTAAATATATTTTGTAAAATAATATCTGTATTTCGAGTTTTTTATAAATAAATTTTTTATTTTTATTTTAAAATAAATTCTTTTTTTTAAATTAAATATTTTTACATTATCATTTAAACTATTTTTAATTAAGTTTTAAGGGATGTGTGGGTAAAAAGTGTGTGGGAAAAATTTAATTTCAAAAATGAGAATAGATAAAAACAAAATATTTGGCTTTTTTATTGGTTAATAAAAAAAATATTAAAATAAATTAAAAAATAATTTTTTTTTAAGGAAAATAATTAAAATCATCTTCTCTTTTATAAAAATAAAAAATATAGATACACCAAAACCAATACAATTCTTTGCTTATGAAAATAAAAAAAAATTAAAAAATAATAATTAATTTAAATAGAGAATTTTATTGTTGTTTAACAATAATATTTTATTAAAAGAAAAAAATGTTAACATTTAATTTTTTTTAATAAAATATTTTAATTTTTTAATTATAATGTATTATTTTTTTTTAAAGTGAAGATTTTTAATGATACATAAAGTCATCAGTTTATTTTTTTGTGTTTTATCATAATTTTTTTAAAAAAGTAAAAATAGAAAATGAAAATAAAAGTATAATAATTTGTTAAATAATATATATTTTAGAAAAAAATTGAAGTTGATAAATTAAAAATAACACATACATCACAATTTTCTTCTTTTCGCCCCTTTTTTTATAAAAGGTTTTTTTTAAAGATTTTATTAGGGGTTATAATGAGGTTTTTGTGGGTAAAAAATTAATAAATGAGGTTTTTTGTGGGTAAAAAAACCCTATTTTTTAATTTTATTTTTATCCTTTTTTTTATTTTCATTTATAAAAAAAAATACGTTTAAAAATGGGGTCAAACTACAAATTAAAAAATAATTTAAAAAATTTAATCTTCTTTTCAAAATTACTTTTTAAATACGATTTTATTTTTTTTTTCCAATATTGGAAAAATTTATTATCTATTTTTTTTTCAAAAAAAAAATTTTTTAAAAAAATACATTAAAATAAAAAAAAGGATAAATAAAAAATCAGTTTATACCTCTTTTTAAAAAAAGGTCAAATTACAAATTAAAAATATAATAATATAATAAAAAAAATTCAAAAGTGTTAACACTTTTAAAAAATTTAAAACAAACTGCTAATTATAATTTTTTTTTTTTGAAGATAAAAAAATCATTATGATGC